CGTAGGTGTACTTGCTGATGTGGGGAGGTTTACTGAGCCCAACGCTGCTATACACATATGGTCCGCATCCTTTCCTTCGAAGACCATTGAAGACTACGTCATCCTCATTGTAACCTGCTCCTCGCAATACTTGAGCTGTCAATGAACTTGTGTTTCAATATTCACAAGATTCACCGAGGTTTACCCATACGTGATGCCTGACCGGTCACCTCCAAGCGTCAATGTATGCATCGCACCACCGCGGCGGCGATTGACAACAAGGGCTTGCTAGCTCGGTGCCTTGCTGCGCGATGCTGCACCGGCGCTGTGAACACCTGCATGTGCGCAGTACCCTGTCAATCGGTGAAGGAATATATCGAACGGGCGCGAGTAATACTCCGGCGCAGTGAGCGTTGTACCGTGCCGTCGCCGCATCCCGCCTTTTCGGTGCACTGTCAGAGAGGCAAGAGGCAACAATCCAGGAGCCCGGTAGATGGTCGGCCGGTTTCGAAGCAACCGGCTTTTCTTGCTGCTTCTGTGTGTCGCATACGATCTTGTGCGCCGCACAGCTGTCAAGTGTTGATGACGCGCCAAAAGCTGTAGCCCACAACATAGCGCGATGCGTGTGCCAGCTCCGCCGCCAACGGCCCGCAAATCTATTGGACGAATGTGAAAAATAGAAAGTGGAGTCGTAGCCAATAGTGTCGCCGAAAGTTGCTTCTTTTCGGGTCGCCCGTGAGGCGAGGTACATAGGCTATATGCGGAGCTGATATAGCTCCGCTTCCCACAACGGCAGAGCATGGTATCTGCGCAAACGCTTGGCAAATTTCGCAAGACCCATGGAAGATGCCGTTCGTATCTTTGTACGTAAGCGAGCGCGGATGTTGTTAAAGTTCCGCAAGATAATCGTGAAGGTGGGATCACATGATCAAGGCTATCGTGAGTGTAACTACCATCATAATATGACACTTTTAGGCGCCTTTTACTAACATCATCCGCGATTTCATTACCTTAAAATTGCGGGCGACTGTCTTTTCGATGTTTTAACTGCCGTCAGTAACCCAATGTTTTTCACCTTTAGCGTTGCTCGCGTATGCGTAATGACAGTGAATTCTCAAGGGCACGGCGACAGAGATAGCTTCTTGACCAGTGGATGTAGCATTGTTACTTCGTGCATGAGGCGTGTCGTCGCTGGTTTTACCCGATACGTGATCTAGATCACAGCATGGTTTGGCTGCCCCGGTGACGCTGAGTGACAACGAAGGGTTACAGTCTGGCGGGTGTCGACGCCGCATACATGGAGGTCGGTTGGAACAATTTGTGACAGTCTCGCTTATACATGTTTTGAACAGATAGCTCGAAGATTTCTAGGTAGGATCCATGAGTACCAGAGAGGGCAGAAGCTAGGCCGGCGCCTCAGGTCGATTTGCTGCTTGTCGCTGCGAAAAGGGGCAGCATCGCGTTCTCTCCTGAGTCTTCCAAAGTCCAGGCCAAAAAAGCGAGTACCGAAGCAAATCCAGGTTTTCGTTAAGGCGAACCACTTCGCCAGCCAAGGACATCTCACTGCCACACCCTCACCCGGAGAAGCTCGCGGCTGGTCATCAAGGGCGCGTGGGTACGATGTAAGGGTCCACGCTGACTGGCTTCAGGATTATCGGGTGCGCGTACTAGCAGACAGCGGCGTCGTGGCAGTGACGTGACGCTATTCGAGGGTACCCACCTACACTGCAGCAGCGCCGTGCCAGCAGTCAAGCCGCGGAGACCCTCACTCAGCGTCTCTTGTTCCCTATGGCACATCCGACGGCAATGAAGGCCACCACTGAGCAAACGCGCGTCCGGATTGACCGAGACATCACTCACCGGAGGCAAGCTGCGGGACTGATCTGGTAGCGAGCGATCCAACACACTCGCCATCCAGTTCAAGCCTGGTCGATAGTGGCCCAACGCTGACGATAGCACAATCACGATGCGCTGTCATATATTATTCGCCGCGCAATAAGACAGCGGCTATAGCCAGGTGGACATTGCCGTGCACGCGCTGTTGGCTGAGAGACTTAGTGATGGGGTGTTATTGGCAACGCTCGCTTCCCGTGCCAGAGTCCCAACGGTGTTGGGCTTGCGACGAATCTCCCGAGTTGATCGGCACTGTTGTGCATGTTGTTCTTGATGCGCTTCTTACAGCGTAGACTTCGGTTCCGGGGACAGCAGTGAGAGCCTCTTCATCCTTCAGGGCATCGATCATGCTGACAAAACTTGGCCTCGTTTAACATCCTCTTGCTCGACTTGGTTGCGCCCCTTCTTCCTTCTCTTCGCGGTCCAGCGTTGGCTGGTGCAATCGCTACCAAGAATATTCAGCCGGCTGATGGCTGCCAGAGTGGTTCAAGCGGCTCCACTGCGATCCGCGCCTCTGGTGGTATAGCCATGGTGTCGACGTACGGCTGGTGGTCGGCGCCGGTAGGCGAATAGAATCTGGCATGCCTGCTGTTAGTATAACCCGCCATTGCCGTGATGCAACTGAACACCAGTTCAGATCGGCGTTTACCGCTCACTCCAGGCGCAAGTTCAACTCCGTCTAGTTAGATACATCTCCAACTTCTTTGCTCTTTTGTTTCGGTATACGGAGTAACTCAGCAGGACATGTGCGAGACTTCGATGTCCAGTGTTCAGCTTTTGCCATAAATTATCATGGGCCGACCTCGATGCCTGAGACATCAGGCCAAACGATGGCGCGTTTCAGGAGCGGTGCCGCCGGCCGATGCTGCCACCGGAGTAAGCACCCGCATCGCCTCGCCCTCTGCCTAGATACCGTGTACCTTCGAGTCGCATAGTTCACCTATTTAACAAATCGTCTAGGTGCATAGTGCTGCTTTGTGCAAAGCTTTGAGAAGAAGTTTTCGAGATGTCATGTTGTGATGTTTTGTCTTTCAAAATCTCCAGCTTGATCCGAGTCATCTCCGGACAATGTCCGTGCTTTGCATGACGTAAGGGCGGACATCCCCAGCCACTTTCTTCCATAATCACGTTGAGGAGCTTTCTTTATACGTGCGCTTGCATTTGACTACAGTCCTCGGTGTTGCTATGGTCTCCTCCACCCATTGAGTATATCCTCAACATTCTCCAAAACTGATTGCTGGTCTGTTCCTTGGCCAGCGGACCGATCATCGTGATTTCCAGATCAATGTCCAATCTCTAGGGACATGTCGTGACCCCAGAGGACATGATCACGTACGTAAGGGAATCAGCGGCTGGCTACAGTTGACTTGCCATCTCGAATCGGTAAGCCTGAATCTCAACATAGCCATCGCAAACAGCCAGCAGTATCCGTATATTTTTCACGGCTTCATCTTATCTCATCGCAACACCTCGCTAGCTTCCTGAACTTGGCATTTTTGCCGAAGAACCGATCTCTTGAATATGCTTCAAAGCCTCATGTTCACCATCGAGTCAACTGATCTCATCGCTACCTCTACTCCTAAAACTCCTCATCTAGCTACAAGTTTCGTCTCTCTGTATCTCCATTTCACTACTAGGTAAATGCCATAGCAATCTCAGCATCCGCTCAACTTCCCTTCACCAATGTCACCAACACGATGTTTCTCCTTCTTAAGCTATGCGGCAAGGGTAAATGGGATGGGCCACGAAGGCAAGAAGGCATTGCTCAGGCAGTTGCCAACAGGAAAGCAGTCGTTTGGCAGTCGCGCTCGACTTTTGCGACGTTAGGCGCAATGCTGAGCCGGTGAGTCTGATGGAAGGAGTGACTGCGCATCACCAGCGCGTACACTACCGGCATCGAGTATGATCAGCGCGGTGCAATAGCGGATAGAAGAAGACAGGAAGAGGCGGTCGGTCATTACCTGCGGGGTTCGTGAGGATACAAACTGTAAAGGTTGCTGGACCCACTGCGCTGCTCCAATCATTGCGATGCCATATCAAGACCCTTATCTTGTGACCTTATCTCTCGGCGCATTTCTACCACCTTCTATAGCCGAACATCCTCACAAAACACATATCCTGGCACACAACGAGTCTGAAGGGAAAAAACGATACCCAAAATCCGCATTCAAGGCCGTCACCGACCGCACGCGATGGACCATCAGCATCACCAGCCGATATGGCCTTTAGTGGAAGGCGCTTTCGATTACACGATGAACCTGGCAAGCGAGCTCTGGACGATGATCTGGAGACCAGCCGAGCAGCCGCGTACGCAGCCAATGAGCGCGGTGGCTGCACAGAGCTCACAGACTGAGGTCGCGAGAGTGGGTAGTCGTCCGCGCACGAAGAGGTCCGGAGATATCGCGAAAGCTTGCGCAGCTGCGCAGAGAGAAGTTGAGCGATGATGAATTCATGCAAACACGCATGGAGAAAAATACATCTTTGGTAACGTGGAGCACCTATCAGACCAGGTGAGAAGCTAATGCGAATATCAGCGAAGATTTGGCGTTACTGCTACCGACACGTCAACGACCAGAGCTGACTAAGGATAACCGGGAGCTGAAGGTGAGTGACCATGTAGTTTAGAGCGGTTGATGACCGATGCACTAATCACCTTGCCAATATTAAGGTCACCGAAGTCGACGTCCCATGCGAGTGCAGACTGGATAGCCCAGCCAGGCGCAAAGGGCACTTGCGCACAATGAGGATTTGGACGGCGACCTTCATTGTCATGTCTGGAGCCCGGATGCCATAGCACTGGATGTGTATATATTCGAGAGAGGAGATTGGCTGTGCAACAGAAAACATTACTCCTCTTGTCGAGTAGAACCAATGTATGCCGAGTTGCTCGACCTTTTCGCTGTATCTACGGCAGAACTGCGCAAGAACCGTGGTTCAAGAACTATGCGGCGACAGTATATGTGACTCTTCGCTTCGGCGCGCACAACCATCTCCCACAACCATCTCCCACAACCATCTCCCACAACCGTCTCCCACAACTATCTCCCACAACCATCTCCTTCAACAAAGTCGCCCGACGTTGCAGCATACGCGCAGTTCATCGTGCGGAATCAACCGCTACCCCCACAATGTCTGATCAAGACCGATATGATGCCTTGACCGGCGCCCGGCAAAAGTCAATCATGGTTTCCGGCTTCGCCAACTGGAATGCATTCACACAAGCGACCGGCCAACTCCTCGCAGCCATCAACGCCACAGAGAAAAAGTACACTGCAGCACACCCAAAATCGACACACGAGATTTCCAGGATCAAGGATCTTCAGGCACGAATTCGCGAAAACAAGAACGATGCCCTCCAAAGCGTACGTAACGAAGCCGACTTCCCGCCAACACTACTCCAAGCTCATCGCTTTGCTGCGTACTACAATTCCCCGGAAGCGTTTCTGCATAGAAACAAGAACTTATGTGGATTTAAAGAACGCGCTACGGACAGCAAGAAGAACCTCGCTTCAGCACTAAAGCTGGGTATACGCATGAAGGAATTCGACGTTGCTGTAGTGGAGAAGTTCCCGAAGTTGTGCGAGGAGTATCGAGTCCTCAATGCCCGTTTGAGTGGCCAGTCGCAAGAAGAAGCCCGGCCTAAAGAGTCTGGCATGCTTGAGGAGCACCCCATTCCTCTTTGCGCAAAGAAGATATCTCTCAAGGACAAATATTTACAGCGTCATCGTCACGATCGCGCGATTTGAGATGCGCTCGGCGCAATTTGCCATTTCGCGACGCGAATCTTTGGATTGGGTCCACCACTGGGCAGCACTACACAGCCGAGCTTTAACAGACTACGCGGTGGTCTATGATTTGGGTCCAGGCTGATATATTTCGGAATCCCCGAAGAGTTTGACTACAACGACGTGCAGTAGTCCTTATTTATCTCGAAATCCAAGTCTCCGAACCGTCTATTTCCTGCACCGTGACTAGCGACTCGGCATGGCAGCTATGTGCTTGCGCATAGAGTTCATTCTTCCCATTCTGCTATTAATCTTGTGACTGATGCTCCAGAGTCCTCGAAGGTAGTGGCTCGGCTAGTCGAACCTCCTCGACACCCTGGATAATAGCCATTAGCCGCGCTCGCCCTTGTTCAAGAGTCCAAGAGCTCGGAACATGATTGGGGTCAAGTCCGCGGAACAGATATTCGAGCTGATGATCTACAAGAATGGTTGGTCAGCTTCGTACTTGTCGATAGCCCACGCCACAGCTTGTACTTACCCCCCATATTGTCAATACATTCCAAAGTCTCGGGAAAACCACGAATGGGCTCATTTGTTTTCGGATTGTGGATAGATAGCAGAATCGTATGTCGGTCGGCTTGAGCATTATAGGCTGTCGCGTGTGTGTTGTGCTCCCTATCAAGTTCTAGTACGACAATAAAGCATAGCGTTATGCGCACTCACCTCGCTTTTCTGACCAACAAATCTTTGTACACAATAGACAGTGTGCGACTTTCGGCATCCATAGAAGCTCGAAGAAGCAACACATTGTCGTGGAGACCTACAACCGTCCTTTCGAGGGAGACAAGGCGTTGCTGTATGTTCTTGATATCGATGCGGACAGTAGCGGACTCCATAGCAGCAGTCAAAGGGACGATGGAAATGGCATGCAGCTGACCGACTGTAGAGTGTAGCTGCGACTCGAGAAAGGCGAGCTCAGCTCGTCTGTTGCGCATGTTGAAGTTGGTATTCAAGATCAGATGATGTTGAAGAGACCCTTCAGTGGATGTTTGGTCGACGTGAGGTAACGATTGTGAGGGGATCGAGAGCTTGAACCAACCAAGAGCCACCACGAGGGAGAGCGCGCAATACTGAATATTCTGGAAAGCCCGCGAATATCCTTTCGCAGATGCACAGACTTTGCGACTTGCTGTTAAAGACTGGTGAGCCCCTCGGTTAATAAAGACCACTTCGAATTCGCACAACCATCGCATACATGAACATACCACTGCCATCATGGAGACCCCCTACGATATCGCGTTGCAGCTTGAGACAACTGCAGCCCAACTCCGCAGCTTCTCAAACCTCCCAGAGGCTCAACGCGAGGGAGCCATCAAGGCAGCTTTCCAAAATCTTCGGGTGCAAGTCTTGGAATTAGACGAAAGGGTACATCGACTGGATGTCAAATACATCGCTCTCAACAAACAGGTTCAGGCACAGTAAGTGATGTCAGAGGATTCAGACTAGAGGACGACATATTGATGAGTACGTGTTAGTATCTGGAACACCACGATGCGCCGTTATCACAGTACATACAAATATCCGGACATGAGAATGGGTCACATGCGCAACATCAAAACAAATGAGCCCATCATCGACTTCCCATTGCAAGCAAAAGACTTCGGCAGTCTGGATTGTATGTATTCCCCCGCATTGAACATGCTGTCACGCTAACCAATGTTGACGTAGCCTCTGAGTGTGACCGTATCGCAATCGCGTTAGGGAGGCCGGAAATGTTAGGCGGAGTGGGAGAAAGACAGCAAACAGTCATCCATTTGGTCGGACTCGATATTGCCGCCGTATACTACTGGGACTAGTCGGGATATATATAATAAGCTGTAACGGTTTTGTAGACGTTCGGTAGAGTGCTGTGGTGTGGGAGACGAGGATGGTTCGGGGGTACGCGTGGTGGCATTGTGCATCATAGTGACAGATCAATAATGTTGTTGGGATCTAGAGAGTACGTCGACGTGTAATTCACAGGATTTGGGTCAATTGAAATCCTCCGAAGAAGCAAATGGCTGATACGGATTTCTGGAAGGTGAGATGAGACTTGCCGGCAAGAGGGTGGTCGGATGAGAGTCAGCCGCATCGCTGACGTAATCAGCGTATTTTACGCGTCATTTCCAGCCCGCCTCGCGCATGCTTGCGCCTCGGTTCTCAATACTACGGGCAAACCTCGCAAAATCCATTCTAACACTGTACGGTTGCGACGTTCAGCTTAATGGTACAACACCTGTTGCAACACCCCTCAACCGCTGATGAGATTTCCATGATTTCCGGGCGCTGATTAACGCGCGCCTGGAATGGGCGCGTTGAGCTTCCCGAGGTCACGCGTCACCGACGCGGCGCATTTCCCACAGATCACGTACGGCCGATAGTCATGACCTGAGTCCTTGTTCAGATATCCTCGACTTACAGGTCTCCTACTTCCAGAGAAACGAGATGTGAGCCACCTTGCAAACACACATCGCGCACTCACTACTGTTACCATGGTTATGCATCGATGCGTTCCAAGGTTTCCACCTCAGACGCCTCCGGCAGATTAGCGTTGCAATGTACCCAACGATTCTAGCGTAGAGATCAGAGTCATTGCAATTTGATCAATGCGATGTGGGCGGATACATCAAGCTCATATGAGTCATCTCAAACAATGTAAGGCGTCCACTCAGTATACCTAGGTACATTGCTCAAAGGCTTCATTATGCATCAACGGCATACCCAACACCATGACGAGCGACGCATCTTCTACAGCGGAAAGCAGTTTCCATACTAAGGAAATGGCGACTGCGCTCGGAGAGATCAACCCCAACCCGCCTCGAAAGCCCCAGACTTCATCATCTACCAAATCGAAGGCGACATCAGCACTTCGAGCGAAGCAAGAGATGCGCAGGTTCCGCGGGACGTCCACCCCCGATCCGACGCTTGAGATCGACATGGACGAGTTCACATCCTTCACACAGTACCTGCGATCGTCGAAACGTGTTCTAGCCCTCGTGGGTGCTGGGTTGTCGGTCGCTTCGGGGCTTTCGACCTTTCGCGGCGATGATAGAAGATGGAGAGGTATAGAGCCTCAAGAGCTTTCGAATATCGAGGCCCTGGCGCAAGACCCGGTGAAGGTATGGTGGTTTTTCAGCGATCGGATGAAGCGCGCGCAAGAGGCAAAGCCAAACCGGGGGCACATCGCGCTTGCGAAACTCGCAAAGGAAAAGAGTGGATTCTTCGCAATCAATCAGAACATCGATGGTAAGCAGGCTTTCAAGGCTAGAGGCCGGAACAATGTCCACTAAGAATACCTAGGTCTATGTCAACGAGCGGGCATACCGGACGAGCAGGTCGCGCAAGTGCACGGCACCCTGTTCGAGATGAAATGCAGCAAGCACGCCTCAGACTCTACCGAACGTTGCGACTACAATACGCCCGTCTCCTATCCTGCCACCGAGGCGCTCACGATCACATCCGACATCAGCGACGCGTCCGTCCCTCTGCCTCCTCTCGATCATACCCAGCTCCCTCATTGCCCCCGGTGCGACAGCCTCATGCGACCGAGCGTTGTACTCTTCGGCGAAAGTTTACCGAGCAACCTCACCGAGGCTATACACACTTTCGTCTGTTCTGAACCTCTTGACCTGTTGCTAGTAATCGGTACGAGTGGCGTCGTCCTTCCGGCGGCGATGTATATACCCAAGGCTCGGAACGCTGGTGCGAGGGTCGCATATTTCAATATAGAAGAGTATCATGACGAGCCTGGATGCGTTTGGGCGGGCGACTGGATGTTCAAAGGTGATGCCGCGGTTATGGTCCCTGAGCTTCTAAAAGGGATCGTGGGAAATGTCGGAAGTGTGTGATAAGGAGTAAATTGCCAATGCAGTTCTAGGTGAGACAGGGTCAACTAATATAAGGTCTCACTTGGAGAGGCTAGGTTGCTGAACAACGAATTGAACGTGGCAACTCATACATGGAAAAAGATTGAACAGGCCCGGAGCCTACATCAACTTTAGGTCTCCTACTTTGTATTAGCTTGCAGACCTTTTCAGCTTTTCCCCAGGTTGGCATGACACCGTGGCTGTTAATCTCACTTGGGGGTGGATATTGTGTTTGTTTGCTACTGGCGCACGTGCCATGTGCGACTGCCTACTTGGGCCACGCAGCTCTCCTGCTCTTACTTCGCGACGACGTCACTCGGGTACCTACCTGATTCCGTTTTGCACTCACTCCCGTCTTCCACTTTCGCGCCCCTGCAATGTGGAAGTAACCCCAAACGCCAATCGAACAGACGTACCTGAACGATCCTTTCGACGAAGCAGACAGTGCAGGCGTGCTCTACTGCGATTGCGACTGCTTCAACACTCTCCGCAGTTCTGAAAGCATTCAAGAAGGCTTTGTGCGATGTCGTCAGTGTAGCAGACAGCGCAGCGCGCCTGGACGCTACCGCCGGCGGTATCAAACATCACCAATCCCCTCGCGGTCGCTCTGGCTTTGTACCCTATACAAGAAGTAAGGCATACGTCCGTGGGCCTCTCAATCTATGCGCCTTACTAATTCTGATCTGCAGGCCCTAGTCCCGCTCCTGGTACCGGAGAGACTCGTCACTCTTACCCAGCTCTGCCAAACTGTTCATGGCCACCTTCGCATGGACGATGCGAGCGCAAAAGCCAATCTTCTTTCCAAGACACTGTGCTCCGGATTCGGTTCGTTCGTCAGGATGTCTACTCATTGCCCCTGTCCAGCGAAGACATTCCACCCTGTGATGGTTTGCCCGAGAGGTGGATTTGGAGCAGAGTCACACCTGTGTGTGGGATGTGGTGTTAACACTTGCGACGAGTGCCGCATCCATGTTTTCTACAACTTCATGACAGACGATTCTGGGCTCGATCAGCGTCGATGGTGGGCAGGCTACTACTTCCTCAACCCCACGGCTGTTGCAGTATATCCACCTAAGAACTCCGATGGCAGCGCCTGGCATCTACCTGTCAAGGAGATGCTACCTCGCCATGACCAGGGCCGCGTGCACATTCCCCTAGATATCGGTGCTCTAGGCGATCCCGAGCCGATTGAGCCGATTCTCGATCTGAATTTGGGCACCCACCAGTTCATCAGTCCCCGTGGGCGTACACAATTCCCCTACTCTGGCAATAACATCGTCTCATTTCTCAATCTGACTGTCAACAAGCGCAAAGACCTCGCATGCCCTTCCTGTTACCTGGAACGCCAGAATCAAGGTGTGGCGCCTTGTTCCTGCACCCTACGGAAGCGCTTCCTAGACCGATGGTTGTGTATGCACTGCTACATCGAGGAGGTAAACGTTGATGACAAGCTACGCTGCCATGTTGTAAAAGCAAGCGAGGTCGGACAAGGCCACATCCATGTGTGTAGCTGCGGAACGGAGTTCACACCAGACATCATGCCAAAAGTCATGTGCAACTGGTGCAAAGGCGAGATCACAGAGCTCGAGCAGGGCACCGAGGATGATGCCACCAGTGAGAACGCCGAATATAACAGCGAAGAAGAAGAAGAGGAACTCGAGAACGGAGATGACGAGGAGGACCATTCGGCGGCTGACTTTGCGGGTCTACCTCTAGACGAGTTTGGCTACGCTGAGAACCGCGACGGGTCTCTTTCGGTGTACGTGAACGGCGAGTGCATCCGCGGAGAACGTTTGGGACGAGCTATGATCCGCCAGTGGAAGAGAATCCAGGGTGAGCACGTTGAATGTACTTGCTGTATCTGCGACGAGAAGGACTCTATGCATGCTCACGCGGGGGTCGTTTCAGAGGACGAGGACGAGGACGAAGGCGAGGACGAAGATGGCGACGATGACGATGACGATGATCTACCAGATCTGGAAGACGTCGAGTCAGCTGCTGGCTTCGAAGATCCATGGGGACTGGACTAAGAGTCCTGAGTCTACTGCACGCTTGTCCATGTAGAATCACGCAGGGCACCACCGGTGAATGCGTGAACTTGGTCCCGTTCGGCAAGATACATACCAACTTTGGAAGATGATCGCCATATGCGATGTACATTTGCTTGTTGCGTCTAGTTGTAGGAATTCCCCGTGACCGCTCTTCCTCGGGAGAAGTCTCTAGCCTACCTAGGTATTTACACACATAGCAGCAGATCAAAGAACGTATTCTGGTTGATACACCAACAATTGAGCCAGCGATAGCTTCATGTCGTCTGTCAGTCGAACATCCAGATGACCAGGTGACGAAACTGTTGGTTCCCCCCGCAGCGCGCACGACCACTTGCTCGAAGTGGACCCCTGAAACTTGCCGTAGTGTCGTGGCGTGAAGCTTGGCACTGACACATGGACCAGAACACTGTTCCTGATCGCTTCGTCGCCGCATCCCCATCATCACCTGCACCTCCTCACGTCCCAACATCGTCCAATTGCGGCTTTGCCACACCGACTTCCGTTTTGCCAAGATGTGTTCGTGAATCCGCGGATCTCGCCAGACCTGCCGGCGAGGTACCGAGCTCTACGCGTCGCGACTGGATATATACACTACGCGTATTGAACGTACGAAGACGTCAAAACACGACGAGAGTGACCCAATACTTTCGAAGAAACCGAATCATGGCGATTCAGACGCGTATCGCGTTTCGAGATGGCAGTGACAGCGGTGAGTTGCAGTATCTTATCGGCGCGACTTCTGCCAAGACCTCTCGCCCGAAGAGAACTTTCGGACCATCGGTGAAATGCTCCAAGCACAGCGCATGACTGTGCGTCAATTCAATGGATAACACGTCCCGATTCCTACAGAGACGCTCGGTCCGTCTACTCATAACCTGGTGATTTCCTCTTTTCTCTCTGCAAACAACTTCGTCATTGTATTAATTCCACCACCTGCCAAATTGGCGTACCGAGTTTGACCGGACGCAACTACCACAACCCTCATTCTTGTTACATCACTTTGACTCGGCGTATATGCGCCTACCAATTTAAGGTCGCAGTCTTTCTCTGGTAGCCTGGTCCCATCCACACACATAATTACGGACATGAGCAGCAGAATAATGAAATTTCTACCCACCTTTTCAGAAGACCGCAGCGCGCAGAGGACTTCCCTTAAGGACATAGCGCACGAAACAGTTGGGGAGACGTACATCGAAGAGGATCCATCGGTAGCAGAATGGTTCCGCGAATTCATTCCCACTTCACATGGCGCCGCAGAGTATGTACGCGAACTATTTCCGAGCGCACGGTGGCTGAGGCGGTATAACTTACATTGGCTGGCTGGAGATGCTATCGCTGGTATTTACAAAACACCTGGACCCCTTGCTGGCCATTGCTAAAGAAAATGAAGGTATCACGGTCGGTCTTGTCGTCGTTCCACAAGCCATGGCATATGCTTCGCTTGCGCGGCTGTCACCCGCCTTTGGTCTTTACACTACGTTTACAGGCGCGTGTTTATATTGGATCTTTGGTACATCTAGAGATATCGTCATCGGTGTAAGCCATTCATTTCACTATGCCGTAACCAGCTAATCCAAGAACAGACGACAGCAGTTGGGTCCTTACTGATTGGAAGCGCCGTCAGCAAAGTTGGAGCGGAACACCCAGGGGTGTATCAACCTCAGGAGATTGCACATGCGCTAAGCTTCCTTGCTGGCGCCATTATTCTCGTCTTCGGTATCCTTCGTCTCGGCTTCATCATCGAGTTCATCCCGTACATTCCCATCTCAGCATTCGTCACCTCGGCCAGTATTACTATCATCTCGACACAGCTGCCGACTTTGATGGGCATTACAGGGATCAACACGCGTGAGTCTCCGTACAAGGTGTACGTCAACTTCTTGAAGGGCTTACCCACGGCAAGACTGGATGCGGCGATCGGTATCACATCCATCGTACTCCTATACTTGATCAAGGACCTATGCGCTAAGATGGAGGTGCGACAACCTCGAAAGAAGAAGATGTGGTCTATGATCTCCTCGCTACGTCTCACGTTTACTATCTTGCTCTACACGCTTATCAGCTGGCTGGTACATAGGACGACACCTACAGGCGAAGAGAAGTTCCGGATCGTGGGTCATATTGAGAAGGGTTTCAGTCATGCAGGTGTACCAAAGATGGACGGAAAGCTCTTCGGCTTGGTGGCTACAGAACTCCCGGCGATCATCATCATCCTTATCGTCGAACACATCGCCATCGCCAAGAACTTCGGACGCAAACACAACTATACTGTCATCCCTTCACAGGAGATGATCGCACAAGGCGCTGCCAACATACTGAGTCCTTTTGTGGGTGGTTATGTGTGCACAGGCTCTTTCGGTGCTTCTGCTGTTCTCTCCAAGGCTGCAGTGCGCACTCCATTATCCGGCGTCTTCAGCGCAGTGGTCCTAGTGCTGGCGTTGTATGCGCTTACAGCTGTCTTCTACTACATCCCGAACGCAGCGCTTGCTGGTCTGATCATACACTCCACCGTCGATTTGATCAAGGGACCAAAGGACTTGCACAAGTACTACCAGCTGTCGCCGTTCGAGCTATTCATCTGGGTTTGTGGTGTCGTCATCGCATTCTTCACCGATCTCGAGACGGCGATCTACATTACTGTCGGACTCTCCTTTGCAATGCTGCTCGTCCGCATGGCGAAAAGCCCAGGCAAATTCCGGGGTGCTGTTGAGGTGACGCGCATCGTGCGCGACGACCGCCTCTGCGATCAGTCCGTGTCGACATCAAGCGCGTCGTTGTCTTCACAACCACACGGGGAACAGACGCATCGTGCTGTAGCTATGCAGGAAGCTCGGCAAGTGTATATACCCTACGACGTCACAGACAACCATAACCCGAACGTCACCGTGGAGCCGGCATACCCCGGCGTCTTTATCTATCGTTTCAGCGAGAACTTCAACTACATCAACCAAGCTTATCATGTTGACTACCTTGCCTCTTACATAACCTCAAACACCCGCCGGACTCAAGCGGATGACGGTATCCGCGCATGCGATCGTTTGTGGTGCGACGCGCCACCCACGGAGAAGCTCATCGAAGAGTCGTCATGTCTGCCCGTCTTGCGAGCCGTTGTTCTTGACTTCTCCACCGTCAATATTCTCGACATTACCAGCATCGACGGATTGAAGAGCTTACGCGAGACGCTTGATCGCCATGCAGCGCCCGGTTTGGTAGAATGGCACTTTGCTGGTGTTCACAACCGGTGGACACGCAAAGCGCTAGCCTTTGCAGGTTTTGGTTTCCCTGCTGTTGTAACTGCAGAGTACACAGGAAACTGGTGTCCAGCCTACACCGTGTCGGCAAGTCTCGCAGGCGCGACATGCGAAGAGCACAAAGAAGTTGAAGCTGCCCGGAGACAGATGGGAGCCGGAGATGAAGAACAGGGCAAGGACTCAACCGAGACGAATGCACTTGAAGTGCAGTTGTCTTCTACGAGTGAGAAGCAGAAGTTTTACCCGATTTACGGGGTTGATAGGCCGTTCTTCCATCTTGATCTTCACGACGCCGTTGACGCTGCGGTTCGCGATGCGAGGAAGGCTGATGAGCACGAGGCGCGCACGAGTTGTACATCGACTGCATGGTCAGCGATGCCAGCGGCCCAAGAAGAAGCATAGATGTCTGCGTCGTCGTTTTTTCTTTTGACCCATCTCGGGTAATGGCGTTTTGCATGTCGGGCGTATTAGCGTAATTGGTGTCTCGGTCTGGCGTAGCATCAGTATTTGCATCATCGGCGCTCAAGAATGGCTAGCATTTAGAAGCACAGAATGTTCGTATCAATAATACATCTCCTCACTACCATAACTTTCACAGACAACTGTCACCCCATTACCCCCATCATGTGCTATGTCGCACCTGTCGGGTGCCTACTCTCGCTACCATATGCTTCACTCCTCAAGCTCCAAGTTGTGATCTCATCCCGCGTCATGTTCCCCAGAGTCATTCTCATCGCCTCCCTCACAATGTTGTCGCGCTCTTGCACACCGCCCAGTTTTGCATGTAGATCCCTGTACTTGGTACTGTATTCCGCTTCCAAATCAGGCGTACGAAAGGGTGCCATTGCTTGAATCTTGTTCTTCTGCCGCTGGTACGCAAGCATGAGTTCGGCGTTGCGGCGACGGGAGTAGGCGGCATCGTCTAGGAAGGGGAAGAATGTGTTATGAGACATTGGATGGGAGTGTATGTGTATGTGTGTGGATCTGTATGTCTAGTACAAGTTCGCCTCCTAGTTGAGAAGCTTATGTTCAGTGCACAACATGGATGATACACTTTGATGACGTATATGAATATCTAGATCAGCCCGTGGACGCTTGCTATGGTAAAATTAGTTTGACTACAAAGAAGTGTATGTGACAAACAGATCTTGCTTCGATCGTCTGGCCTCTCCCATTATTGTTCGACTACTTTCATCGAACTATGAGTGGATGCTAGTGTATACTATGACATTAGAGCAGCTCCAATATACATCGTAAGCTGAACCCCTAACTTCCCCGTTATTGCTTCATAAGCTATGAGGGCGGTACCACTTGAAACTGAGTTCTCCCTCCTTGCCCTCCTCCATTTTCTTTTTGTATGCATCCATCTGCACATGTTGCTTCCGGGTAAGATGCTCTTGACAGACGAAGTGCCCATGCAGACCAGGCGCGGCCGAGCCCGCAGCCACGATGGCCTGCTCAATCCGAGTGCCATCCAGATTGGGCCGGTCCCCATCTGGAAGAAATTCCGGCCAGGCGCCCTCCTTGTCTTCATCCTCCTCATCCGGTACGAAAGTCTTCGCCGCCTCCTCATCTTCAGTGGCTTTCTTAGACCCGATCACCCGACCATCGCACCACTCGCATACAAACCACGAATCTTGGTCCTGTGTATCGAATGAGCTCCCACACGGACATTCTCCTGACTCATCTCCTGCCATCATGTTCATCATTCGCGTAACATCAACTTCAACTTCGTTCTCGAGGTAGCATTCAATGCACAGCCATTGGTCGAGAAACCGCTTTCGAAGTGTGCAAGTACACTGGTGCTTGACCTCCGTGGCTGAGCACGTCTTGCACAGTCGCTTAAGACGACCCCCAGCAACCAGAGACAGCGGTCCGGCGACAGGCCTGAAGCCGGAAGACCCAAATGAATGACCCTTGGTTCTGAGGAATAGAGTATCGCCAAGATTTTGATCAATTAGATTGTCAATCGGTTCGGCTTGGGCTACTTGATTGGAGTCAAATGGTAAGCCGAGACGGCCACAGTCATGCTGGGGTCGGCCCTTACCAAGCGGTAGCTTCCAGGGTGGCTGTTCTTCATCTTCTTCAGGTGGGTACCGGTAGATGGGTTCGTTAGGCGGGAGAAGGCGAACGGGAGCATTCATCATCATGATGTGGCCTGCCCACCACCTTAATCCGTGTGGTCCATTATCCTCGGTCATGGAATGGTACGTCACATGTAACCTGCATTCGTCGCAAGTGTTCATGCCACAGGTGACACATGGACGGCTCTCCATGTCTGGGTCGTTGATCTCGCTGCCACACGATACTTGTACGTGCCATTCTCCTTCGCTAGCAGGCTTGTGCGTGAGTTTGCGTTGTTGCACGCCAAAGCCGGGACACAGTACCTTTGTACGGAGATTGGTACGGCTAGCGGCGCTTGAGAAGTCCAAGTTTGAGTACGCCGTCTGTGAAGTCTGAGCTAGTCGGAGAACATCTTGGGGCCGGAGGTGTTCAACAAGACTAGAGAGGATGGTGTATTGGGTGGTGGCGTATAAAAATGGATTGTCCAAGCTGTTGGTGTTAGGTAGCTGCCAGGCATGGTTCTGGGTGGCGTTTTTGTCTCGACGTGGGAATCTAGGTTCGTCAACAGCGGTGGCTGGGTGGTCATCTGGTGGTTGAGACATGGTTAGTTGAGCGAGGGGGCGTAGAATGATCTGCGTCGAAGGTGGTACTCATAATATACAGTTCGAGTGCCTTGTCGTGTTGTGTGAAACGCACGCTTTGTCATTTCACCTTGACCTTGCTGTCACATTATGCTGATTATAAACACGACACCTAGGTAATTCGTTGTGCATTTGGCAGTGTGTGCAAATAGGAAGTTCGGTGAGCGATCATGTAGAGAACGAATGCGCACAGAGGAGACGACAATGAATGGGTTTCTGTTCACTTTCAGCACGCAAAAGGAGGCTTAGTCTGGATTGGGCTTAGCTTTGGACTATGGCCAATCGGCTCATCGGCATTACGTCACCACACGCGAATGCTCCTTCTTTCTTCTCTACATCACGAACATACCAAGACCTCGATTTCAGCATGCCAAAGGACGACATACCTGAATATCTGAACCGTACTGCACTTCCGACACCTTCGCTCTCAATTCTGAGACTCACCTCATCAGCTTTATCGTACCCACCATCCGTCTGACAGTTTGTAACTCGTCCATTCTTCGCATAGCGTCCGGATCCGACCGCCTTCCATATATCTCCAGCTCCATCAAACGTACAAACTCATGATGCACCAACATTTCCAGACACGTGGTGATTTCTTTCGCTTCCCGTTCAAGTCGACTGTTTACCGCTCTCAGTTCCATGTTTGTCAAAGCCGTCGTGGCACCAGCATGAAAGTCTTGAACAAACGATAACGAAGAAGCTCTTCCGGTGGATCCGGAGTTGTTGACGCGTGATCTATACCTGTTGATGCTGGCAGAAACAGTACTGACTGACGAAGGAGGATAACATAAGTCGGGATGTCTGACAAAGCCAACGAGGATGTCGCATACGTAGTCCACGCCGGCACGAAAGGCTTGCTGGTGTGTTACAAATTCGCTCATTTTGCTCCACTCTGGGCTCATGTATATCATCTCGACAAGGCGAGACTCTCTCCTCCGGTTCATTTCTTGCTTGCTCTTCTGCTTCTGCTAGTCACTGTCTTCGTACGAGCAATGCTGGGTTACCTAGGTAGTGATGTCTATGGCCGTTGTGCGTACTAAATAAGATCTATGGTGAGTATCGAGCTATTATGATCGTGCTCAATGTATTGATGTAGAAGGCAAAGTTTGCTGTAATAGTCATGCTGCAGCCCAATGGCATTCTAGAAGCATCCAGTGAGTCTACTGCACGCTCACTCGGTTAAATTGTGGTGTAGCTAAATGTGGAAAGCATTTTCACTAAGAGACCCCGTAGTCTGCAGCAGGGACTCTCAACGAACGTACACTTTCCTTCAAGCAAATGTCGGCTTCAGCCGTATGTACATGGGCATGAAACCTTTCGCAGACGATGAGCTTGGAGGTTTCCAATGACTTTTACGGACTACAAAATTATAACATTGCTCAACGTAGAATCCACAGCGCGCCTACGGCACGGGCATATCACGATATCAGTATCACGGTCAATAGGAGCGGAGGCGCGGAGAAGAGACCATCGACCTTGTTTCTTAGCGATCTAATTACTGCTAGCTGTAATGTCCGTTTGAAGGCGCAACTATGAGTGTTGACAAGACCGGCAGCTGCGCTGCATGTAGTAAATTGGCCGTGACGAGCCGGACAGGGGGCCCGAGCACACTTCCCACTTACTTACCTAGGTAGTCTTTGAACTTGCCGTGTCGCAACATCATCAATCCCTCCCCCAAGCTTGAAGAAATATTTAGCGCAAGGATCGCGACTAAAGTGTCTGTTTGCGACTCCTGTTCGCGCACTGCTTCCCACTTTCCATCCCTATCGTCTGTTCCACCCCGCCTCCTCGTTGCAGCACGAGAACAAGCTATGGGTTCTACTCAAGATGAAATTAACGACGCGATCAAAAATGGGACACTTGACGACATTAGGAGCTTCGCAGAAGCTTCACAAGCGCAGACAAAACTTCGAGACACAACTGGAGCTGCTACCCGATATCCATCATCGTGGCCGACTCGCTTTCGACACTGCCATCGACGTAAACGTTCCGGAGTCGATCAAAGCAGGAGTTCCAGTTGTTTCCGTTCTGCAGCGCGTGCTCGATGCTATCGGAGCGCTTTACGACGAAAACACACGTCGCAATGCAGAGTCAGTCCCAGAACGCGAAAGCACTACCGAGCACGAGTCTCTAGTGAAAGATGCGACACCCTCCCAGCGACCTGATAACCAAAATGAGCAGCCACGCGAGCAGTCACATGAGATGGAAGAATCCATAAAATCGAGAGAGCTATTAGACTATGACGAGCCAGATAGCGCGGAAGAACAGTTCTACGAATCCGAGTCGGACTACGGAAAGCCCTCCAAGGGAAAAGGCAAGCTCAAGAGAGGCAGAAAGAAGACGAAAGACATCGAAGCCGCCAGAATTGCTATCGCAGTGGAAGCCAGGCAAAAGAGAATGCGCCTGACCCACGGCACGCCCAATAGCGACGCGAAGAATCCTAAGCGCCATCTCTTCGGTCTCAATTCTGAATTGGGAGACACGAGCGCTACGCTTTCACCGACACCCTCGTCACCCACCGCCAAGGGCAGGAAATCGCAAAACACTGTAGCAGCATCTTCACATCCTCGTGCGAGTAGCAGGTTATCCAGGGTAAGTATGCCGCTTCTTACATCTAGATCAATCCAGCTAACGGACAAACAGCAAGCTGAAAATACACCCAGCAAACCATCTGCCGACCTACCCTCGCCGACGCCCGACAACGTAAATCCCACCAACCTGCCAAGTCTCATCGTCAAGCTCAAGACCCGCAGACCGTCTGCGCCCAACCCAGTACACATCCCAATACCCAATTTCCATCCCAAGCGCGGACGTCCACGGAACCCGGAGGGGAAATCGATCGGGAAATCGAAGGGTAAATACAAGAGTGCAGAATTTGTAGACTCAGATGACGAGGGCGAGGAGATGGAGAACGATGCCCCCACCGACATCATCGCGCCAGAGACGATGCGAAAAACGCGGAAGGCTGCAGCCAAGCCCGCGGCCAAGGCTACGAGCAAACTAAAGACACTTGTATTTGGCAGAAAGGAAGAAGAGGCCGTGGGACTAGACAAGGACGCCGATGTTGAGATGGCCGACCCAGAACCCATCTCAAGGAACGGTACGACGCGCGAAACCCGACAAACGCGAAGCGGAATGACCACACGTGGAAAGCAACCTACTAACCTCTCAAAGGCCAAGCAAGATGCAAGGAAACCCAAACCACCAACGCCGTCAGTCAGGAAGATGCGGGAAAAGTCTCCAGTAGCTCCACAGCCAAAGCGGAATACTACAACACGGCCGCGAAGAGGTGCCATGTCCTCACCCTTTGAGTTGTTCGAGCCACCTCCCGCAGAAACCGCTATGCCCGCAGAAGAGAATGTCTTCTCGGACACGTGGTCAGAAACCGCCGTATTACCAAACAGCCCTTCGCCTCCGCTTATCGCTGATTCACCTGATTCACGCCCAGTATCTCCGTCATCTCCTTCGAACACCGACACGCCATCTATTACCTCTCCAACAACTCCAACCCCCCTCGCACCCCAAACTTTCGCACCCTTTCCCCCACTGACCCCCCGCGATCTCACCCCTTTCACCCGCGGCGCGCGTATCGCGCTCGAAAACATTCTGTCAGACCACCAGTCCGAGCCGCTGACCAGTCTCATCGACCTCATCGAAGAGCTAGACGACACACGGCCGATCGTAAACGACTGGGAGCATGTCACGGTGATGAAGGGCGGGTGTTGGGTGTACCAGGTTATGAGGGATGTGTGGGAGGAGGTTGTGGATGGGAGTGATGAGGAGGAGATGGAGGTGGATGTTAATATTGAGGAGGTTGTGGGGCGGGTTGGGAGGTGGGTTGATAGGGAGGTGGGGAGGTTAGGTGGGATTGAGGAGGGGAAGTAGGTTGAGGATGGGACGGAAAGAGGGATGGAGAGAGGGCTCGTGGAAGGGTGGTATTAGGGAGTGCGATATGGGAACAGGCAAGGGTCAGAACGGAAGGATGAACGAATTGATCATGATTGTTATACATTGTACGTGAAGGGTATTCAGTCCAGCTGAATTTCTGTATCGCATGATATCTTGTTGCTTTCAGCGCTTCCTTATGAGGCTGCATATCTTGCATCTGCCTTCCGGCTATGAACCTACAATCACATCTCCTTTACGGAGTCCAAGCCAGCCATCCTAGGCTTGGCTTTCGTTGAGTTCGTGTTTGCAGCACGAGCGTTGATTTTTCCCAGGGCTTGTTCATCGGAGCCGACCGCTGGCGTCCATGGAGAACTCTAGACTTCTAGCCCAGGCTGGACGTCGCAAACTTGACCGAGGTGCAAGGACCATCCCGGGCGACTCAGGATCCCTGGAGCGAAATTTTGATTCTGGCCCCCAGAGCATCTTACTCATGCGATTGATCTGATTCAGCTGCCACCGGACGAATCTGCTGGATAAGATCGACAAGATCGGCATGCGAGAACCTTTCGTACGCGAGTGCCAAGCCGGGAAATGATCCTTCCAATGCGAGGAAGGATGCGTCAGATCTTCAACAATCGAGATGACAGCCGACCTGGTTGATGTCCGCTCTGAATCGCGTAGTATCTGTCTTCGTACTCCAATGCAGACAAGCCAGGACCTAGTGTGTTTAATGTTCTGGTTTGATGGTCGCACATTGACTGCGCGCTCAGTAGGTTTGCTGCAGTTGCGGTGGACGGAAAAGTTGGTGACTCTGTTCAATCATCATCTCGATGTTCTTCGCCTCGTTCATTTCAAAGTCGTGCATCAGCTCCATCTGTTGTTGCTGATTGAGCCCAGTACCCCTGGCATCCTGACTCCAGGCCGGGTTGAGATAGTCTGCCATTTCGTAGCCTTGGTTCGCTGCGTACGCCTCGTTATAGAAAGGCGATGAAGCCATCTGCATATTTGTCATGTTGTAGTTGTCTTGAGGCGGCATCGTGAACGTTGGGTTCCATGTCGGTAACTCGGCAAAGGTAGTGGGTAGCGGCGCGAATTGGCCTGTAGGTGCGTAGCTGTAGGAGGGTATATTGTTGTCCATTGTGGTCTTCGGGCTCAGCTCGTTGTATGCCAATGATGGGGGCTGCTGAGGCGACGTCTGCAGTCCAGCCTGTTGTGTCGGTGCGCTTGAGAACGGGTTGGGAGGGTTCGATAGGCCGTTGCCAAGGTTGAAGAGTTGCTGGTTGTGTTCCGGTAAGTAACCGAAAGGTCCTGGTCCTGGTACCTTGTCGGAAGGCGTGCGAACCGATGAGGTAGACGCCGTTGCTGGACTTGTGGTTCGTGACCGATTGATGCCATCTACAATGTTGCCAGTGCCCACGGATGCAGTGTCGGAAGGTGAGCTGGCGGAGATGGGAACGTCGCCATCCTTGTCGAAGATCCTCATGCAGGCTTGTATCAAGTTGTAGTAAAGACCGATAGCGGACTCAACACCAGGCCATCGCTCGGAAGCCTGCCTGATCGACTCCATAGCCACTTTCAAGTGACCCTCGACCTCTTCGCGGCTATGTCGTCTCCGCACCTCGGAGTATGACAATGTCCACAGCATAGTGTTGATGCACATGAAGATGGCTTGTGTGAAGATCCAGGTAACGTCGACGCTCTTTGTCTCGATCTGCTTCATAGTCATGTAGATGTTGTACTGGCAAGCGTCGTAGCAGCGGATGGCGGCGTCCAGGGACGGGCGAGGTACTTGTGGAGAAGGACGGTACATGAAGACGACCATGGTATTGTATCGACCGATGAACCTAGTCGCGTTAGTCGAGGTATTTTGCATGCAAAGAGACATACTCACCAGACCTTGTTAAGCCCTGATCCACCGTCCATCTCAGGGCTTGTATCTCTCCACGCTTCTATCTTTGTCTGCATCTGAGCGAACCAAGGGTGCTGGTCATCCTTTGGTTCGGGCTTCTTCCTCTGGTACAGCATCTTGCGTATCTCGAGTTGAAGCAGGCGCATCTTGTAGAAATGTATGCCGATCCACTTCTTGAGCGATGCTTGTGGTGCGGGTTTGATGCCTTCCCTGGTAATGTAGACATCGTCGACGAGCTCGCCGAAGTTGACATCGATGTGTTCCCGCCGTGTCGCGAAATGTGCGGGGCGTCCAAGACTATGCGACAAGCCGTAATCCATGGTAAGTATACTCCAGAACAACCGGCGGCGCATGTCGACTTCGAGAGGGTCTGCCTGACGTCCACCAGAGCCCATGCTGATTGTCTTCTCCTCGTGTAGGCCCAAGGCTTGACACAATCGTACGCCAAGACCTATTATGTAGTAGACTGCGGTTCTCGTTGGTGTCAGGAGCGAATAGCCTGCGACTAGGCCAAAACATTGCAGGGTCTTGAGGTTCATAGGCTTGATGGCGGCTTCGAAGTGTTTCAGGGCGGCGAGATAGTAGCTGTCGGCGAGACCTGCATACTGGGTGTCCATCTTCTGCAGGCTGATGGCGATGACCATGCGCAGACAGTAGTTCTGGTAAGGATCCGTGGAGCCGTTGTAGACCTCATCGACATCTTTGGTGAAGGTTGGTTCGTGGAAGATGGGGTACATGGGGTGCACTAGTCAAGTCAGTTGATGTCGGGGTTGCAAGGAGACAGCCTTACGCGCCTTTGCAGTAGAAGAGTTCTACCAGTAGGTTGGTGAGGTCTCTGTTGGGCAGTTCTTCAGCCGCGACGTCGCTGACCATGGGGTAGATCTTGGAGGTGGGTCGCTGATCTTCCTGAGCGAAGGTGTCCTTGATGTTCTTCGCCTCGGCATGTGGCACGATCTCAGAGATGCTCTTTGACTCGGTGAACTGCTTCGCCAGCTGCATCACCAGTCGGGTGATGGTGATACCGCTGGAAGGCCCTAGGAATTTGGACTCATCGGAGTCCTGGACACGCACCGTGGCTGCCCCACGCATCACATCTTCAGGGTCCGGCTCCACGTCGTCCCGTTCGAGATCAGCCAGCTGCTTCTCCAGGTCGCGCACCTTCTGCTGCAGGTGCACAACATAGTTCCGCGGTATTTTGCGTCCCTTGGTGGGGTCATAGTATTCGCAGTGGGAATTGGTGCGCTCGCATGGCCCGCATCGAGGGAGTCCGGGGTCGCATCTCGTCTTGCGCTGGGCTCTGGTCAGTGGACATTACGTAGCCAGCCGTGCCCGGGATGATGCTTACCGTCCGACAACGACAGCAGGCTGTCAGAGTGTGGGCGATGCGACTCTGGCCGGTGGTGGTGGTGCCTTCCTCTGGTGGGTGCGGGGCCCCTTCCGTCTTGGTGTGTGTCGCAGTCGCGACTTCCATCGCTCGTCTCTCACCGCGGGAGGAGGACGAGGGAGCTGGCTTATGATGCGCCTGGGATGTGGGGGAGATCGACGCGCACGTCCATGCCCGGGAGGTTTGTCGCGCCGGCGAGGTCTGGTCCTGCGCCCTCAGTCCGTGAGGCCGTCGAGATGGCGATGTGGGAGCGAGTTCCTGAATACGGTAGCGGTGCCTGGGTAGAGGAGCAGCCGAGCAGTACCACCGGAGTGTCGTCCGGTGGGTGTATCTTTAACCAGGAAGAAGGAACGAAGCGCGACGTCGACTGGGCCACAAAAAACGCCTGCGCATTACCGAGCGTCCCCAATCAGACGGCGCCAAAAGGAAGTCGAAGCATGACACGCCCCCGTCGCTGGTGCGGCGCAGGCTGATGGTGACAGGCCCGGCCTCTGTCCAAACTCTGGGAGCCGAAGAAAGACGTGCAGCGTGGGCATCAAGCGCGACCAGGCTCTTGATAGGCTGCCTCCTGGAATTGGGCCTCGAACGCTCGGCCAAGCATACGTCTATCCTCATCCCGTCGCTCGCAACCGCGTCACACCCGTCCCTTTCAGCATCGCTTTCTCCCTGGCCGACTCAGCGGGGCAACACCGCCGTCCGCCGCTTCTCCATTTGGCCACAGAGCCGCGGCATTACGAAGTCCAGGGTACCGCGAGCCCGCTACGCCACCCGTCAACCCGCTGTTCAACACCACGAGAGCGCCAAACCACCAAATACATCGCGTGCTGTACCGCCTTTTTGGCAAGGCTGTCCGCGGACCTGATCTCTGCATCGTCGCGCTAGACCCCCAACGTGCATTGCACCGAGCTGGTAAGTGCCGTCCCGTCTATATCGATCGTCAGGCCACGGGCTTTCCATCTCCGTACCGCCTTTGAACATGTAGTCTACAGCGATATTCGAACATCGTGCCTAGTGCCATTTCGTTGATTCCGCTTTCCTTTCTTATGCCAGTCCTCGTTTGAACCCTTCCGCACTGGAATCCGCCCAGCGTCAGGTGACCACGCGATGCATACTTACTTGTCCTAAGATAGAAGGAACATGGTGCTGGAAACGCCGCTGCTCCGGGTGAGCAGACCCGTGGCTGCTTGTTCGCGATGCCGAGCTGCGAAAGTCAAGTGCGATGGAAAACTCCCCGCATGCACAGCCTGTGAAAAATCTAATCGGGCCTCGGAGTGCTCAAGCACAAACGATCAGTTTGCGCGAGGAAAAGAACGGAGCTATGTCGCTACACTGGAGTCCAGAGTCGAGAAGCTCGAGAAGAAGATCCAGGAAGCACGGGCGAGGCGAAAGTCTTCGGGCGTGCTGATGCTAGACATGTCTGAAAACTCGACCCCGCGTAGAGCGTCTGTGGACACCGTAAAAGCAACTAGACCCATTAGCAAAAGGGCTGCACGACGGAAGGAAGCATCGGAAATTGATGACCTGGTGTCAGACTTCGGTCTTCTGTGAGTGCGCCATATCCACCTTAATGTGCTACACTAACCCACCAAGTGCTGTGAATGCCACTGCGAGAGACTTCTATGGCTTCACAACAGAAATGTCTTACGCCCGCCTGATCCGATCGGCGAGTGCAAAAGAGCCACTACCCGCAGACCTGATCAAAGCACTACCTCCAAAGTATGCAGCAACGCCACTGATTCAGCACTACTTGAACAACATCTTCACTCTTTGGCCAGTCTTCGAGGAGGCTACACTCTATTCCTCCGTGGATGCCGTCTACCAACAAGGCGACAATGCGAAACCTTGGGATAGGTGGAGCGTGCGCATGGTTTTGGCCATCGCATGCCTCTCCCAGTCCGAGTCGAGAGGTGACACCCACTACTCTGATGCCGTCGGACACATGAATGCTGCGTTAGAAAACGCTGAAGACGTGTTACATCCGGGCTACGTTTCTAGCATTCAAGCTTTGATACTCTGGACCATCTATGCTACTATGGACCCGCACCACTTCGATAGCTGGACACTAGTGGGCGCAGCTTCCAGAGCCATGGTCGATCTCGGTATACATCAAGACCCTTCTAAGAATGTTGCAATGTCAAGAGCGAAACTAGAGATCAGGAGAAGAGTGTATTGGTGCGTATACTCGCTAGATAGGTAAGGCCGTATCCCATGCTTTCTCCTTCTGCTTGCTAATCATATGGTAGATCAACATCGCTCGTCCAGACTCGCGCCTTCTCGTTCTCAGATGAGGCTGCACACGTCGGCTTTCCATTTTACAACGCCTCAGTATCACCAAAATTTGCCTCGCCTACATCCCAGGTCTTCCAACAGTCTTTCGACACCGCAGTTGATCTCTTTAGGATACGAGAGATACAATCCGAGTGGTACATGGATCTCTTTCAATCTGGTCGCGAGCCTTGGCAAGAACCCTACCAATACATCTGGAAGCAATATAACAGGATGTCAGAGTGGTTCCAGGATATGCCGCAGAGCACTTTGCCCGCCGTAAAGTCCTTCTTCGAGCTCGAACTTCTTTACAGCTATGTTTACATTCTTTCACCAAGCCCGCGGATACCCCACATCCACGAGTATGCGCAACGGCTGATCTTTGAACATTGCATCGCGTATGCTACAAACCTCTTGGCCGTATTGGATAAGCCGTCTCACACAGTCAAACCTCCGGTCACCTTCTATGACGCCATGCGTGCGTATATGACAGGTCGACAGTTTGTCGATGTTCTGTCGCGTAACATGGAAATGATTCTTGACCCAAGACCGCCAGTACCACCAACCCCACTGGCCCCTCAAACAGAATCGGAAGATCCGCTCGCACCACCCGCGCAGATCAGTGCACCACCTTTCCCGTCGCCACTGCTGCCAGAAGGGCAGACTTCGCCGTTGGACCCTACAACTCGGGCGATAGATGCCATCCACGACTACACATCAGTACTTTCCAAATTTGGGTTGAGATTTGGCTTTACCCACTGGCGCGATCGCTTCCAACGAGAGTCAGCCGCTCTCTCCGCACAGCTCTACCAACGCCAGCAAACGTCACCGCACACCTCGCCTCCAGTACAGCAACTCCCACCGCCTGTTGATTACCCTCCGCAATGGTTACCGATGCCGTCCGTTTCGCCGCAAGCGCCAAACTTGATGTATCCTGGCGGGCCAACGACGCCACCCAGTCTATTCCCGCAATCAAGTCCTTTCGCCAGCTCAATGTCTTACACCGGCACTTCGTACGATGGATCTGGACATAGTCCACAGCCACACGGTATGACATTTGATGCGAGCCCAGGTCAACAAACGTGGGCTACCCCATCACCTCAGCCAGTGCCTGAGTTGCCACAACCATCCGGTGGTCAGAAGAGAAGAGCTATGGTATATGGACCAGGACTTCCGGCACCGCGTCAGGGACAGGGTCATAGCCCTGGTGCGTCGTCGATCTCAGGGCAGGATAGCAATGGATGGGCACAGCAGGATCAGCAGCAGCAACAACGAGATCCAAACAGTTACTTCCAAGTACCGTCTTTACAGCAGCAGCATAGCAATTCGTGGACGCAGGATCCGTCGCAAGGGAATTGGGGTTGATAGAAGCAAGATCGCAATACTTATTCTGTCCAATGATATGAAACCTGTCTGATATTCTGTTGTTGCAAACCGAGCACCTTTTCGCATTAGATCCTCTAGCAAGCATGTGAACTACAGTACATGGCGGGCCCGTAATCCGACCTGACCTCGTACGTGAGAAGGCGTTGCTTCCTACGGGGGATAATCTAGTCGCTTAAAGATCCATTAAATTACTCCGTTGTCATTCGGTCTTCCCAGCGCATCCACTGAGACTTAGCCAAGCCTTCTTTCAGCAGATGAGCCGCAACATGATCTTGTCTTTCCTCCCAATCGCGAAGAACCTGATAGCAGAACCCGCACCTCAAGGACTCAGAATTGAAGTCAGGATTACCCTGCTTCAATGTAGAAACTAAATGCTTGGTGACGTTGCCTCTCCGATGGCGGTCTCTCATGTGAATCAAGAGCTGGTCTTCGCGATAGAAGATGCGAGATGCGGCATCTTTGTGGACTGCGGAAGGCTGTACGCCTAGGTTGCAGACCCAATGGTACGGCCAGTAATGTACAGCTGTTTCGTGACGGTCCCATTCAGAGCGGAATTGGAAGGACTTGTTGCAGCTTGACCAAGTGCAGTACCATGAACGGCTTTTTGGGCATTTAGTAGTTATGGGGCTCTTTTCTTCTGTTTCGCGGGCTGATGCTGTAGCATTGAATTGGTTCGGAACCTGCACCCAGCTTTTGCGTCCTCGGCGTGGACCCCTGGAATCGACAGAAGTCTGACTGATCCAACTTCCTGCACTGCTTCCAGAATCGATTGAACTATCCGAGCCAGCTATGCTACCAGCCACATCGTTTGTAGACGGGAGAGCTCGTGACATCCGGGCTCTGGATCTAACATCTTTCAGAGTTCGGGAGTTATATTGTCTCAGTGCTTCGAGTTCAGACTGCGTCATCTTTGCCGTGCTCGGGGTCCTCGCTTCGAGTTTCGATGTGCGTTTCAATTCAGTTATTAGCTGTTCCGTTGTTCCCGTTCTTAAGATCAAAGAGTAATTATCCTTGAGTAGGTCAATAGCAGTCGAAGGGATGGCTTCTTCGGTGAGAGGTGCTGCGAGATATCGCTCAAGAGAAGTTGTGCTACGGGCGGGCGACACTCGATCCAGTTCCCTGAGACTCTCGGCTGAGACGGACGTCGATGCTTGCGAGGGTGTCTCCGATACTGAGCGCTCTCGACTTTCTTGCGGTGATGAAGCAACCGGAGAACCTAGCAGAAGACATTAGCTGTTGCATTCTGGATATTTCAAGGTTTCCAAATAGCTGTTGGAAGTAAAAGAAGTAAAAGCAACGTACGAAGACGAGCCGTCCGTTGTCTGGCGTTACTGAACCACGTCTTGACACATTTCTTATCCAAACTTGTTCGTTTCTGCAACTCGTTCATCTCGCGTGTGTCAGGGTAGCGGTTCTTCAAGAAGCATGCTGACAAGATGGTCCTGTTCTTCGAAGATATGTCTGAGCGTCGTGATGCTTGCTTTACCAGCGGTTTGATCGGATCGCGAGAGTGATTGGCCGTATATGAGTGAGTCTGGTCGTTCGAAGGCAAATTCGGTCTTGCATGGCCCATCTCAAATGGACTCGGAGATAGAAAATGGTCATTTCGGTTTGCTTCGGTAAGCTCAAGACGTCCTGGAGCGAGTTCCAACGATTCCATAACATCGTCAGGATACGTGGTTGTCTGCTCCGGGCCGAAGGACGGTAGTGGCAAGTCGTTGTCTACGGAAAAATTACCATATACGCCGTGCTGTTGGCAGTACAGGGGCGGGAAGTCGCACAAACATCCCCAGTCCATGATCGACTCTGCTTCTAGACCAGTTGTGTCCTCTGAGTCGGGTCTGGGTTCGATCGAAAGCATGGGTACATCCCCCCATAACGTTGCGTCCATAGCACCTTGCTCTTCGAGGAAGGTGTCATATGTTGTATCTTGACTCATGCCTTGCTCGGAATGATCAGGGTGAATCGGTACGGTCCAATCCACGTCCATGGCCGCGAGACGAAGTATGATTCAAGGGATAGGTAATGAATACAGGAGATTTGGTCGACAGGGCGTAAGGATGTAATTGAGACATGGCGAAAGCTGGGGTTCGGCTCGCTATTAAGCTACCCATGGTGAGGCTGAAAAGCAAGGTGAGCGGCTTGACGTTCGTGGCTTGATGTTCGAGGTGAGGAGAGGCGGTGCAGCGGTTTCGTTGCCCAATCAGCAAAGGCCACCACATCTACTGACGCGATACAGAGGAACAAGGAGAGAAGGACGCATTCTGTGCACAGTGACGTTGCACAAGAGGCCGCGAAGGAAGCTGATAGAATGGTGGTGATGTCGTGAAGGATGGAGATGACGCGCACGCGCACGCGTTCTGGCTGGGAGGATCGCCAGGGCTGCATCGACAGGCAGGCACGACCCCCACTTGACGCGGGGCATCCGCCGCTATCTCTGCTCAGCGCCCATCAACCAATCTGACACCAGACGAAATGCCTTACCTCACCCTCGCGCACGCATCGCAACACTGCGCAACACTTTTCCAACTCCCAGAGCCACCCTGAACCACCACCCACGATGTCCACCCCCCTCGAACGCGCCCTAACAGCCATCGACGCAGCCCACGCAGAAGACCCAAATAAAGTCACCATCAACAACACCTCACTCCCCTACGAACTCCACTACGCGCAGAAATGCACTTCCTACCTCGGGAAACGCGCCCCCTCAGCCTCCGAGCCCCTCCGCATAGCCATCCGCGCCCAACACTTCCGGCGCTGGGAAGTGCCTCGCGCCAGCTACCCCATGACGCGCCCTGGCTACCACGCCTGGCGCACCTTTCTCAAAAAACGACAAGCCGAGCTCGTTGAGCAAATCTGCCTCGATGCCGGATACAACGCTGAAGACGCGTCGACAGTTGGCAGTTTGATCCGTAAGGAAGACCTCAAGGTGAATGAGGAGACGATGGTGCTGGAGGATGTGGCGTGTCTTGTTTTCCTAGACGACCAGTTTGAGGCGTTTGAGAAGGAACATGACGAGGAGAAGATTATTAAGATATTGCAGAAGACGTGGGGGAAGATGACGGAGAGGGGGCATGAGTTGGCGTTGGAGATTCCAATGGGGGAAAGGCCGAGGGAGGTTGTTATGAAGGCGCTGAAGGGGAATTGAGATGGGAGTGGAATGAAAAGAAATGAAAATTGAATTGAATTGAACTGTGTGATGTTCGTTCATGATTTGAGTGTGAACTTCGTTATGTTTGGGTATCGTTCTGAGCCTGTGATATCTTCTTCCCTCCTCTTGTAACCAATAAATCCGCGGGTCGAAGCCTAAGCTCCGCCCTCCCTCTTGGCGTACTCCTCCTCCATCGCCTCCTCGTACCGCTTCTCGGCTTCCTTCTCCTGCTCAGTCTTCTCGCCGTTGTTCGCGTTCGCTAGAGCTCGTGAAGCGGCGTTCTGTATGTCATTCTGAGCCTGCGCAGCAGCTGAAGATTGGGTCGCTGGGGTGGACTGCGAGGTTGCGGACGGCATTGGGACGGGCATCTTGGTGGTTGAGTTTGGTGGTGTTTGTAGTGTGTAGGATTTGAGTGTTCTGTTTGAGATGGAAGTGTTGCTGGGGTTTGGATATGGAAGATGAGAGGCTTGCAGGAACGTGTGAGGGGCTATATACTACTATACGAATGACTGGTGTTGCGTCATTTGTGGCGGTGCAAGTGTGGCTGGAATCTTCCAAAGAACGTGATTCGCCACTGATCTTCGTTAGGCGACTTCGGCATGTGAAGACCGTTGGCAGGTGCTGTTTGCATACTATGATGCGTTTCCACTCTAGGAGGGTTGTCTTCAATGTCATTGAAGAGCCATGCATTCAATGTCAAATTATGAAGTTGACGTGGTGGCATCGACATGGACGGTCGCAATACAAGAACCCTTCGTTTCTCTTACCACGATCAACGCTTGTTCTGTGCTTATTGCTTACAGTATTACTGATATTTTTAAATCGATATGTTGTTCTATACAAGCATTTTGCTTCTGTCTATCGCATTTTGCGCTTCTCTAGGAGATACTACCAAAATACTCACTGGGTCTCCCACGCCAACACCGACGCGGCTGCACTCCCATGCACATCCCCATGTACCTACATCCACCAGCTCACCTCTCGCGATGGCGAAACAAGGCCATCCTACTGAAGGCCCTGCCTATTCAAGCTGGGCCCTTGCAGCGATATCGTCTGCATCTCTCTCCACTACATCCCAGTGCCCACCCCTCCATTCCCTATGCGGCAGCGTCAGTTGCTACGATCCAAGCACAGAGCAATGCTGCGGCAAGAGGGGCATTTGCGAAATCACCCAAAACTGTGTCGAGGTCCAGCTAAACAACGGCACTATGGGAACAGGATGCTGCCCCGGTGGGACGTCCGCCTGTAATGGGATCTGCTTCGACGTATCCACATCCAAGTGCTGCGCTGCACCCGGTGGCACGCATGGACTTTGCTCTGCGAATCAAGACTGCTGTGGGAACATGTGCTGCGATGAAGGTGCGGTTTGTGCCAATGGATTCAACGGTCCGATGTGCTAGCAAAAGCATGATAAAGGCACTGAGGAGATTGAGGACCACGCCTTTATTCCACCAATTATTCCCGTTCCGAGTACGCAAAAGAGCGGTAGCGTGAGGATCAAAGCTCCCGGAATCTTCCACGCTCTATTGTTCTTGGCCCAGTTTGTGGCTGGTAGTTCCGAACAGGCCTTTCCCGCGACGCGCCTCCAATCGCTGCCAATACCGCACGGCATACGAAGCCCTGACATGGGCAATTTGACATCATCTCTGAACAAGCGCTCATCTTGTGAGCCATTGGAACCTTGTGGCAATGGCTGTCAATATAAACCATCAAAGTGCTGCTTCCGGGAGGATGGTACGTCTGGTTCATGTAACGCAGGCGATGTGTGCTGTCAAGAGTACTGTTGTCCTTCCAATACCATATGTATGATCGCATCTGTGCTGCACAGTTCCGGACCATGGTGCTGGCCGCCAGATTTACCGAGAGCAACAGCGAACGTGCCATACGATCCGTTTCCTTGGCCTCACGATGTGGACGGGGCAGGCTTCAAGAACACTCGTATCAAGAACGGGTCCGCTGTAATGCGACCATCTGGTGTACTTTGCGTAATCATTTTCTTGCTGTCATTGCTGGTTGCAAGCTCCGCCCTGGAATCAGTGTCGATCAATCTCACTACAAAGACTGTGGACGGGCTGCCGATGACTGTTCCCATTACTATGCCGACAAACCCGCCGATCGAAGTGGATGTTGACGTTGACATGTCCCAAAAGAAAGGTGGCGGTGGTCATGGCGGAGGAGGTGGAGGTGGTGGTGGTGGCCATGGCGGTGGAGGTGGTGGCGGCGCAAAACCTGGTGGAGGTGCTCCTGGAGCTTCCCCTGGAGGTCATCGCAACACAGCAGCACGGCCGGCCATCCCATGGCTCTTTCAATTTCTGGTCTGAAAGATGCCTTTCATGATGTCAGCTATTACCCTGCGGTATTAGCAGCAGGCGAAACCTTCGAGTCAGATCTGAAGCATGTGCAATAATCGTCACAGGTGTGTTTGGGCTGTCGGTCTGAGATTGCGAGCGAAAGGGTAGCGGCGAGTGCGCATTGTCTTGATTGTTTGTTCTTGCTGTGTACGATGAATGGGCACAGATACCATGCAGATGTAAGGCTGTTGGTGAATTTGTTTAGCCAATTTGAAGGATGTAGATACTGGCCATCGTGTCAGTACAAACGAAGTGAAGCACGTGAAACTTTGCAAAGACATCGATAGGCTCAGACTTGCCTTTTTTTATATCGAATCAATGGCACCAAATGCGTAGAGGATATCCTATCTATTGCTAGATAGGAAAGCCCCGAGGATAAGCATTGGTGCCTCAACCGCTTGCTCGGTTTGTAATCACAGCCAAAGGGAAAAGGGAAAATGAGAACAAAAGAGTGACTGACCTTATTGACTTAGAACATGCGTGCCTTTCGTCTTGCCCGTCTCCATTTTGGCAGTGCGAGCGCCGAATTGTATCGCACGCTTCTTCTCTGCAGCTACTCTTTTCATGCCCAAGTGCCATGCCAACAAACGAAGTGCCCGCTTCCCAGGCTCGAGCAGCCGTGCAGGGTCTTCGCTATCGGTGATTTGCTCCAGGCCGAAATCGCATTTGGACGTCACCGGAAGACGGAGGGTTAATGCTATGAAGTCTTCGTCCAGGAAAGGAAATCGGACTTCTCTACTGCTGTTGCTGATCACGCGATCATCACGACCCAAGTTTCTCTTTCCCAGACGACTGAAGTCGAGTTCAAGCTCTTCGATTAGGCCAGGGTATCCGCGCCGAGCAAAGGCTGTAGCGTGTCGTTGGTACCCACCGAAGAGCTCATCAGCACCGAGTCCGGAAAGAAGTACGTGCGCGGTAGTGGAGTAGGGCTCAGCTTTAGCCTTGCCCACAACGTGCGACAAGCCGACTCCGCGGGAAGCGAAGTAAAGTGCATATGATATGGACAGATCCATTTCTGTGTTGTGGGGATGCATCAATGCCATGACGGTGCTGCGATGAGCTTGTGTCTCGGTGTAGGGTACGTTGACCTCGACGAAACGCCACTCACGTCCAGGACAGATCTCTGCCAGCTCTGCAAGGGATGATCGTCCAGTGACACGGTCGGGACAGAGCTCGTAGGGACTGGCGTCTGGCTCGAGATTGGAGTGAATTCGAGGATTCTCAAACGCGACATTGAGTAGGTCGACAGGTTCGCTTAGTGGTACTTGGTCGTGACACATGCGCGCGAGGATTGTGCAGTCCAGGCCACCAGAGAAAAGAACGGCTACGCGTGTTTCCCCCGAAACTCCAAGCTTTGATTCTCCAGTCACTGCCTCACGTATGTGTTGAGTGCGCAGTTGAAGTGATCTTTCCAACGCCGCCCTTAGCTGTTCTACTGCCCCAGCATCCTGTGAAGCAGGGTTACTGTCGATAGTCTGGTTCATAGCTGGAAACGGCAGAGTCTGAATCTGTTAGCAGAAGTCGTGTGCCAGATGACTTACCTACGAAAGACAACTCAGAGTCCTCTTCTTGATCTGAGCGGCGATGCGGAACTCTCGTTACTGGGAACGAGTCTGACGTTGGGTCTGCCAGCTCTACGTCTACAACATAGATACCATCGGCTTCCACCTCAGCCCAAGACTCACCAGAGGCATTATCGCACACGCTAGAGAGTACAAGGGTGCCATCAAGAGTAGACTTTTGGAGCAGCGATCGCCTTCCTAGGCAGTCGCGTCCGTAGTAGATTCTTTGGTGCGATGCATCGTAAAAGACGAGAGCATAGGGGCCTCGCACGACTGACAGCAGCTCGATGACACGTCGCATAGACGCCTCGCGCGTTCCAGTACATGCGTCTAGAAGTTTGGTAAAGACTAGCTTAGAGTCATTACCATCAATTGCCTGTCCGGCAATGCTCCATGCCTCGCCGTTCCAGCAGAGGACGGAGCCGGTCGTATCATCCCTAAGTGGCTGCTCAACGATGTCGTTGCCGCGGAGAGCAAGAACCGTGGACAGGAAAGTCGCGTGAAGACGCGTTGAGACGTCCTTGGCGCTGGATTCGATGATGGTCTGGTGCTGCCCTGTGCTGTCTGGCCCTCTATTCCGGAGTAGTCGCTGGGTGTTGGCGTCAGGTATCACGTGTCCAGTCTGACTGAGCGAGAAGAAGATGCCGCACATGGCTGGGCTGATGAAATGGCGATGCAGGTGTGGTGTTGGCAGTGGCACGGCTGCAGTTGCTTGACGCGCTAGCGGCGGTGGCTCGGAGACTCGGCTTCTAGATGCCGGGAGACCATGCGGACGATTCACACACGCAGGCGCAGCAGACGTCAATCACCAAGGCACTTGACTTATATTTCCCCTGCGAGAGCTGTCGTGAGCTCTGTTCCAGACCCATGGACGCTTGATCAACCACCCACAACCCATCCATAATCTCCCGTCGCACTCGGTCTATGTCTCCCCCGAACGCAACTCCGCAACCCGATGCAGCCCGCGACAGCCACGCCGAAAGGGAGCTAGACAAGCTGGACGACCAGCACCATGTAGCCACGAGCAACCAGAGCGCGCCTTCCGTAGGGCAGCCCACAGACTCTAAAGCACCGACGGATGACGCGAACACGGCGACGGACGCGGGGCAGCCTAGCCATGTCGAGGCCCAAGACGAGGGGCATGCTGGCAAGGAAGAGCCGACAGATGGGGTAGAGAAAGCACCTGAAACATCAGAGGAGACGAATGCTGCCCCAACAGGTCTCGAGGAACCCCAAGAGAAGGACACAGAAGCTGCGCAGCAAGCATCTACCGCGCCGATAGACGAGCTCACCACCAAGACAGAGAACACGACGCTGGACCGAGCATCAACACCACCGCCAGAGCTCAGCGAGAAATCAGCAGGGAAAGCGCCCATACAATCGCCGTCGCCTCCACCTCCTCCGCCCAAAGACGACAAATACCTCACAACCAGCAACGTGCCCAGCCGAACCACATCCCCAATGTCGCAGGAACGATCGAGTGGAAGAAACTCGGAAGATGCTGCGGCCGACGACTATGGGACGAACCATGACGGTACAAGCGACGCGGTAGACAACTCGCAGGAGGAGATACAGAGCATCATGGATCAGTTCCAAGGGGACGGTGGGCCTGGCGAGAATGAGATCATGTCGCCTAGACTGGAAATCGCGAACCCCATGCTGGAGTCGCCGTCGACCCCGTACCCCCCGCGACGATCAAGTCTCGTGCCGCTCGACAAGCCCCTTCCCATTCCGGCTGACGATTCAGCCTCGACCGCCCCGCTCCAATCACCACCTCCTCGCACCTCCTCCTTACATCGCGTCGGCACCGGCACATCCTTCGCCGAACCGTCATCGCCCAGCGCACATGCCTCGAAGTACAAGCCAGCGCAGCCAGCACCCGAGCCCGAACCAGACCTACCCTTCGACTTCCACCGCTTCCTCGAACAACTACGCCACCGCACAGCAGACCCCGTTGCCAAGTTCCTGCGCTCTTTCCTGCTTGAGTTTGGAAAGAAGCAATGGATGGTACACGAGCAAGTCAAGATCATCGGTGACTTCCTCGAATTCATCAGCAAGAAGATGGCACAGTGTGAAGTTTGGCGGACCGTCTCGGACGCCGAGTTCGACAACGCGAGAGAAGGCATGGAGAAGCTAGTCATGAATCGGTTATACACGCAAACATTTTCTCCTGCGATCCCGCCTCCAGAGCCAGCATCACCCCGCAAGGGCCGACGGAGACAGGAGCCGCCTGGACCAGGCCGAAGGGGGCAGCACCAAGAGGATGTAGAGCGAGATGAAGTCTTAGCGCAGAAGGTGCGCATATACAAATGGGTCAGCGAAGAGCATCTGGATATCAAACCGGTAGGCGACAAGGGCCGCAAGTTTTTGCATCTCGCCCAGCAGGAGCTATTGAAGATCAAAAGCTACCGGGCGCCTAGGGACAAGATCATCTGCATCTTGAACTGCTGCAAGGTCATTTTTGGGTTTTTGAGAACGTCAAACTCTGATCAATCAGCCGATGCTTTCGTACCACTACTCATTTACACAGTACTACAAGCGAACCCCGATCATCTCGTCTCCAATGTACAATACATTCTACGGTTCCGGAATCAGGACAAGCTTGGGGGAGAAGCTGGCTACTACATATCATCATTAATGGGCGCCATCCAGTTTATCGAGGGTCTCGACAAGACATCATTGACAGTAACCGATGAAGATTTCGAGAAGAATGTCGAAGCGGCCGTCTCCGCCATTGCCGAACGCCACGCAGCTGAAGAGGCCGAATCTTCATCTTCGTCCGCACTATTGCACCCTACTGCGCCTGGCCACAAGCGTATGCCATCACCCCATTATCATCATATAGCGGAAAAGACAACACCGCTGCGACCAGAGCTCACACAAAGAAACTCAATGGAGGCAGAAACCGCAGGGCCACGACGATCAACAAGTCTGAAGGATCGCAAGTCCGAAGCGGAGCAACCAGAGGAAGAGAACGCAGCCGTCGCAGGCCTACTGCGAACAATACAACGGCCGCTCAGCACCATCGGTCGTATCTTCTCCGACAACGACACAAACCATCCGTCTGGACCTGCAGCGGCCCAGAAACCACAATTACCGCCACGTGCGTCAACAGAATTTCCCGGCAACATGAGCGAGAAGCAACGCCCGTCGCATGACGAAGACCGGCAAAGGCAGAGGTTGACGGCTGAAGACGCCGCAGCGCGACAGGCTTCAGCTGAAGCAGAGGAAGCGAGGCGGATTCAACGGCAGGAACACAAAGTCGTAGTCGAGACGCTGACAGGCATGTTTCCCCAGCTGGACCGGGATGTCATCGACGATGTCGTGCGGCAGAAAGAGGGCCGGTAAGTTCTTTTACGATTCATTCCATGCATGTTGACAAATACTAATGCTTGTCTAGGGTCGGTCTTGCAGTCGACGCATGTTTAGCATTAGCGAATCCTTGATAGACTTATTCATCTTCTCGGTCGAGTTCTTGGAGAAACTTGGCCTTTTCATAGTGAACCAAGAGCTATTTTACGTTGCATCATTTACACCATTCATCAGTTCCATATCTTACTTGTGCTCACCGCAGCAAACGCTTAAATATGCTACCTGCTCGTCGTTCGCAGTTTTGTAGTTCGCGTGGGCCTTAAGAGCACATGACTCTCCATTGGGACACATGGCAAACGATGGAAAGATATCTTGGTACGCATTTCCACAGCTGACGCGATGCTATGTGATATCCTACGCGGAAAACAAGAGCGTTTACTATGACATGTGCATGTTCGCGTTTGTATGCTTTGAACTTCTCTATCAGGTCTTCCTCGTTCTCTAATATCTCTTACTCTTTCAACATCAATTCCACGTTCAAGCATTGCTTCTACAGGCTGCTTCTCATGAGAAAGCCGAGATTGTCTTGCTAAACACAGCGACGTAGGTTCAGCGCCCTGTCGGTAAAGATGGTCGGTCACCACCACTCGCTCCTGCCTAATTCGCGCGGGCCACCGATCGAACGCGAACTGCGCGCTCTTTCACTTTCACTTTCACTTTCACTTTCACTTTCACTTTCACTTTCACTTTCACTTTCACTTTCACTTTCACTTTCCCACCATCTGATCTCGAGCTCACCTGATTCAATGACGCAACACTGCCTCGCTTATTTCGCACAGCCGATACTTTGTTCCGCGATAGCAAATTTGGTGTCGCGATCCAGCGACCCTGCCTCCCTCAACACTACCACCCGACATACCCACATCTTCCTCATATCTTGAACTCCTACTACTTCACTCATCTCTTGATTACTCCTGGTACACTCAGTCACTTTTTTTGCGCTTCGCGCACCCCACCGCCATCATGTATTCCATGTTCCTGGTCTACGCTCTTCTCCTCATTGTACTGTCCTATCTTCCTGTCGCCCACCATGTCTCTGACGTGTTGTTTCGCCATGTCCTCCACATCAATATCTTCGAGTTTGAGCTGCAAAAGCATCCCTCTGAAGACATCATTGCCCTTCTGTGAGTAATACCCAAGTGTGAACCATGTGTAGGACGTACACTGACTCCATAAACCATATTTCAGGCGAATGAACGCACTTTGCGCACTACTCGCCCCACTAATCACCTACCTCTACTCCCTTTGCTTTCCCTCTCGCCACTCCGACAAGGAGCGCCCATCAGATTTCTCGATCGACATCACATGGATCGTAGGATCTCTTCATGGGATGCTAGTCTGGTGTTTTGGCAAGAAGAAACCCCAGACATTGTCTCTCTCCGATTGTAAGCAGTTCTACAGGAGCTTCTTGAAGATGGTAGATCTGTCAGACGCGAGGAAGAAAGCCTCCAAGATGTCGCGGAAAGACCTCCACCGGATAAACCGGAACAATGTCAGCCGTCGCCTTCATAATAGCAAGATTCGCCTGGACCGGGAAAGGCTTGAAAAGATCCAGCACGCCTTGGAAAACAAGAAGCTCTCACTGTCGGTTACTGCATTGAACGACGTCATCAACTCTCTCTTCTCCGACCTTGCCAAACCTTCAGCCTACGCTTCATTGCACACCCCAAACTTGGACAAGCTCAAACAAGTACACGAGTCTGTTACACGGTCCGATGCGACCAAAGACACCCGAATTCGTACACTTGTGGCCGGTCACAACGACATGTCGGAAGAGCTTCGCCACAAGAATGCAGAGCTCGACATCGCTCGGACCGAAGCATCTGATCTAAAGGATGACTGTCAACGATTGGATGCGCAACTGCAAAAGCTGGCCGACAACAAGTTCAACATCGAAGAATCATTTCGCAAATGTAGGTACGACCTGCGACAGGCTGAGTTCAACCTCACCGAGAGTTCTCGGAGAGTGGCGAATCTCGAGACTCAAATTGAGCGAACGCGTATGTCCGCACGAGATGCCGACGAGCGCGCAGAAAGCATCAACGACGAACTTCAGGATGCAAACCGCCAGCTGAGAGACTCCGAGCGCGAACGTGCAAAGCTTGAGGCCGAGCGCGATCGACTTCAGACTGAGTTGAAGACAGCCAAAGAGCAGTTGAACGGTGAAGCGGGTCTTGAGAAGAAGACTCGTCATCTGGACGCTGTCCACGAGCTCGTTCGCCAGCTCAAAGATGAAATCTCGGCTCTCAAAGAGCAACACGCAGATGTCGTCTCCAACAAGGAGAAGGACCTGAGAGAACTCCAAGAGATAAACAAGAACGCTATTTCTCGTAAGAGCAAGGAGATGCAGGATCATCGTAGGAAGTCTCAAGTCGCTCTCTCAAGCAAAGAGAAGAAGAATGAAGACTTGCGCAACGATCTCACTGCTACGATCAACGCCAAAGATGCGGAGCTCGAAGGATTACGCGCCGAACATGTTGCCGCCATCACCGCTAAAAACGGGCAGCTCGAAGCCAAACACCAGTCTGAAGTCGCGATCATCACTCGCCATGGAATCGAAACGCAAAAGCTTCGCGAAGAGGTCGATTCGGTTAAGGTGCAAAAGGACGACAAAGTCAAAGAGCTCGACGCTTTGGTATCTAGCCATGATGCCGCAATGCGTGAGCTTCGTCAACAGCTCGATTTGGTCACTCGGCAAAAGGACGACAAAGCCCAGGAGCTGGAAGATTCACGCAACAAGCACATCGCTGAAGCGGCCGACAAGGAGAAGGAGTTTGACGACATTGTATCTAGCCATGAAAGCCAAATGCAGGAGCTGCGCAAAGAGCTCGATCTGGCTAGGGACCAAAAGGCCGATGAAGCTGAGAAGCTAGAACTTTCGAGCACCGAACTTGCTGCCGCGATCAATCTCAAGGACGCAGAGCTGCAGGAAGCACACTACGAACTCGCCATCGCCGTCTCTTGCAAGGAATCAGAGATTGGCTCACTTCACACCGAGCACGCCGCTACTATCGCTCGCAAGGATGCAGAGCTCAAGAAAGCCCACGACGACTACGCCATCGCCATCTCTGGCAAGGAATCAGAGATTGGCTCACTCAACACCAAGCACACCGCTGTCATCGCCCGCAAAGATGAGGAGCTTGAAACATTGCGCGCCGGACACGCCGCCGCCATAGTCCGCAAGGACAACGACACGATTTCTTCTCTAGCGCCACAACAGACATCTTCAGCATCTGAAGGTGAAGAGAAGCGCCGTGCGGATCTTCTGAAGGCCTCGGTCGAAGTACAGGACGCGAAGATCATGGCCATTGGGAGGGAGTGGGATGCTCTCGAAGGCATCATCCAAAATGTCGGCATGGATCTGCTAACCGCCCTGGGCAAGTTCGGTAAACCTAAGAACAACTGCCATGACGCCATATGGGCAAGAAGACGCCAAGACCCTGAGCGTAAGTGTAAACCCATCCTGTACCAGACGATATCCACTGACCAAACGATAGTATCGCTTCCGCAAGGTCTGACCTGCCTTGAGACGGCGATGGATATACGTCGTGTAAAGATTGAGCTGGAAGAAACGGTCGATCACCAGTGTGCATTCATCAAGAAGTTCGCTGCAGCCGTTGTCGAGGCTCATCCCGAAGTCATAGAGATGGCAAAGGCCATCGATGTCACTCTCGCCCCGCCTGCGCAGCAGGTGGTTCAACCCACCCAGGCGCCTACACCCGCGCTCGCCCCGGCGAAGATGACCCCAGAGAAGCCCCCAAAGGATACATGTGCCTGCGGGTACTTTTTCCTGGTGACAGATAGCCAGGATGCCTGCCGCGACCATCTCGACGGGTGCGATGACTTCGCGAAATGGACGCCCGAGAAGAAGACAAGCCTTCTGGGCAAGCTCGGTTTGACTGGCTACAAGCAGTCGAAGGCGACAAAGCCGAAGGCAGAGTCGATTACCTGCTGGCACTGCGAGCGTGAATTCGACAAAGTACACGGGCGATGGTTCCACGGCTCACATATCAAGGTAACATTATCCTATGCAACATCTATTCAGTGCCTCACTAACATACATGCGTTCTAGGTCTGCAAAAGGGGCGCCCCCAGCCTCCATGATGTTCCCGGCTCGAGCACACCAGGACCGAAGACTCCCGTCACCACACCTTCCAGACGCGCCCCCGTGATCGAGCAAGGCTGGCAGAATACCGGGACAGCGAAGAAGGCCGAGACGTCAGTCTTTGTTTCTGGTGGCATGAGGTTCAGTAAGCATGCGCAGTCGCAGTAGATTCTACAAGGCTCTAGGTCCTTGGCCCGTAGAAGGGAGCAAGGACATTGAGTAGAAAGAAAGAGATGGAGACTATACCAATCAGTGCGACACCGCTAAACCGGGTGTCGTCATTGATGGCGAGGTATAGGACGGATACAGTGCGATGGAAGACGATGATTTTGTTAGATTGTTTTGGGTTTGCGATGGCGTTGATGGAGCAGTTAGTGTTTCGATACCCGTAGGATGATCTCAAAGTTTGACAGCACACACCGGTAACAAAGCCTATACAAATCAATAGTTCAGGTACCTGGGATTCCGTGACTTTGGCTACAGCAGTGATGAGGGTATCGGTGTCTTCCTCGACTAGTGCGGTGTTCGATTGGGATCTTCGCGCACTCTAACTGCAAGATGCTGGTGTGCGAGGCTGGTTGTCAGACCTCTGCACTGCATTGGGCGGTAAGAGCATATTCCGTTGAGTAGCTTCTCGTCGTTAGGTAATGGATGTCAGGTTGGCCACATCGAGCAGTGGCGGTGAAGGAGAACATTGTGCGCAGCTCTTTCAAGTGGGCTCCTCGAAACATGCTGAGTAGTCGTCTTCTTGTCGACAAGTACCGAACTGGCAAGTGCGGCTCCAGCCTGTCAGGCAAGCTGGCGTTGGCGTTGCCAGGCCGAGTCACGACAGCGAAGAGCCACTGTGACTACGACTCCACTTCGACTGTCTGGACGCATGGATAGACTTCTTCGCTGTGGAGACGCCGCTGGGAATCGACTCGCAACGAGAATAGGGGACACCCACGACGCAGGTCCGCGGCTTCGTGCGAAGGTAAGTTCCGCGTTCGATAGACCGGCCAGTCCATCTCGTCACGTTGTCACGAATCTCGTCATCAGCGCCAGTCTTTTCAAGGACGAAATGGAATCCTAGGCTCTGGAATGCGATTGGCGAAACATCCAAGCATCGCCATATCTGGGTATGATGGCAGATCTCCAGGGATCCAGAACCGTAGCATAAACTTATTTGTTTGTTTGCAACGGACGACAGGGTCTCCGAACCCCAAAAGGGATGTGCCAGAAACGACGATGCGAATGTTGCCGGGTAGTTAGTAAGGAAGAGGCTCATGCGCAATTAAAGCTTGAGTAGTCGGGCAGTCCTAGGCCAAAGTCGTCGGTCGGCAAGCTCAGGTACCACTTCAAACTCTATGGCGCACAGGCCGGATCGTTTTAGCCGGCTGCCGCGGTGTACCTGGACAGAGGTAAGCATCGTGTAGCTATTTTCGATGCGACGTCTCTTCGTTATCATAGCTGCTGGTGAGAATCTCTGTTGGGAGAGGCGGAGGATGACGGATGTCAGTCGCGATGGTGCTGGTGGTGGCTGAAACGAGCCTAGCGGCACTCCTGGAACGGCGGATTCCACCACCTAACTGCAGCCAAGATAGCCGACCTCACGAACTCCTGCTTGCGCTACCACCCACATCGGTGTGCGACTTGACGACATCACGAATAAAGGATGCGCTAATGCTACTATTTTCCCCTCGAACGACCCGAGCTCAACCCACTTTAGTTTCAAGGCCGCAAGGCTGCACATTCGCACGGTGCGGAGAAGACAGGCTAACCTTCCCTCTCTGCGCACATCGGGGCATCTCCCGCAACTCTAACCTGCTTTATCCTCACTCTACCCTGCGCAGCTCAGGCATCTCCCGTCTACCTGCCGTCGATCCCGCAGCAGATAGCGTGAAACAGACAATCTAGACAACCCTTCATCACTCTTTCAATAGAGTCACTATGTTTCGAAACGAAGCTACTGTGAGGCTCGCCACCATCATGCTCAGGGGCCACTCTGATCACTGACTACGGCTGTCTACTACCTACGAAGGTCTACCATGCGACTCAGAACCCTCGAGTATAAGACCTCATGTTCCCAGCGCCAAAAGTAAAAAGGCATCAGCTTTGATCTCATCTACTTCACACTTTCGCTTTCAGCAACCAAAAACACTTTCGTTACTACTCTACTCGACTTTATTAGTCCCTACTATCGTTTGTGCAGAGCACTTCACTTCTATCACATTTTTACTCGATCTCATATCGCCAATCGTCCAATACTCCACTTTCGTCAAACACATCAACATCAACAACAGCAAACATGAAGTTCCAAATCGCTCAGGTTCTTGCTATCGCTAGCATCGCTACTGCTCTCCCTACCAACTACGGCTCCGGCTCTGGCACCACCCCAGCTGCTCCCATCACCACTGGAACTTCTCCCAGCTACGGATCTGGCTCCAGCTCAGGCCCCAGCTACGACTCTGGTGCTTCCGATGAGACTCCCAGCAGCGGCAGCGGTGGAAAGCCCAGCTACGGCGGCGGCATCGGTGCCGGTCTTCCTGGACTCGGTGGCTCTGCTGGTGGCAAGGGCGGCCTCGGTGGCATGATCGGTGGCTTCATGCCCGGCGGCGGCAAGCTCCCTGGCCTCGGTGGCTCTGCTGGTGGCAAGCTTCCTGGCATCGGTGGTGGCCTTGCCATCCCCGGCATTGGCGGCGCTGCTGGTGCTGGAGGTGCCGCTGGTGGCAAGGGCGGACTCGGCGGCTTCGGTGGCCTCATGGGCGGACTTGGCGGCGCTGGCAAGGGCGGACTCGGTGGCCTCGGCGGACTCGGTGGCCTCGGCGGCCTCATGGGCGGAATCGGCGGTGGTGCTCACGGAGGTGCCAACGGCGGCGCTCACGGAGGCGCTGGTGCCGGTGTAGGAGGAGGAGCTGGTGCTGGTGTCGGTGGCTCCGTTGGTGGAGGTGCCCACGGCGGTGCTGGTGCTGGTGCTGGCGTTGGAGGAGGAGCTGGTGCCGGCGTCGGTGGCTCAGTCGGTGGTGGAGCAAACGGCTCTGTCGGCGGTGGTGCCAACGGCGGTGTTGGTGCTGGTGTCGGTGGCGGTGCATCTGGATCCGTCGGTGGAGGTGTAGGAGGCTCCGTTGGAGGTGGTGCCAACGGCGGCGCTGGTGCTGGTGTCGGTGGCTCTGTTGGAGGTGGTGCTTCCGGCTCTGTCGGAGGTGGCGCTAACGGAGGTGCTGGTGCTGGTGTCGGTGGCTCAGTCGGTGGTGGTGCTGGTGTTGGCGGTTCCGTCGGCGGTGGTGCCAACGGCGGTGTTGGTGCTGGTATCGGTGGCGGTGCCCACGGTGGTGCCGGTGTTGGTGCTGGCGTCGGCGGCGGTGCTCACGGTGGTGCCGGTGCCGGTGTTGGTGGCTCCGTTGGAGGTGGTGTTCACGGCGGTGCTGGTGTCGGTGCCGGTGCTGGTGGTAACGCTGGTGCTGGTGTTGGCGGCTCTGTTGGTGGCGGTGCTTCTGGATCTGTTGGCGGTGGTGCTGGTGCCGGTGCTGGTGGCTCAGGCTCAGTTGGAGGTGGTGCTTCCGGCGGTGCCTCTGGCTCTGTTGGAGGTGGTGCTTCCGGCTCTGGATCTAGCTCCGGCTCTGGCTCCCACTACTAAGCGCTCGTAGCTGAAGCATCACGCATGCTTCTTGTACATTAGACTCTGGATTGGACGAACGTTAGGATTCGAGATATGACTTTTAATTCATCACTTTACTTAAAACCTCCACTCTTTTGCAACCTACTTTGACCCTCTATGTTCCCTTGATTCAGACGAAGCAACTTCGACTATCAGCAATTCCCATAATCTCAGACAAGCGGCAGGTTCAGAAACAACACAGCTCCGTCATTGTCACTGAGGTCAGCTCTCACTCCAACATACCCAGCACAGCCTCCCAAGGCCTCAACTCCAGCTTCCCACTCTTCGCCTTCTCATCCAACTGCCTCTCGTCATAGTTGCCAGCAACCCACTTCTTCACTTTCAAGTCGCCCATCTTCCCCCACACTATCTGCTCTCCACTGAAGTTCAGCACAGTGATGAAGGCATTCTTCTCACTCCACCGCCGATACGCAACGACCTTCTGATCCTCCATATCAAGCATCTCGAAATCACCGTACACGAAGACGTCCTTGTTCTCCTTGCGACACTCGAGACCGCGCTTCCAGAATGCGCGCACGGAGAGCATACCGGGCGAGGGCTCAGGATTTGCGAGTTGAGCTGCGGCATTGATGCTGGGATAGTCGTCATTGACGCGCATCCAGGGTTTTCCGCTGGTAAACCCGGCTTGGGCGGATGAGTCCCATTGCATGGGTGTTCTGGCGCTGTCGCGAGCTTTGCGTTGCTGTGTAGATAACATTAGGTAGTCAGCTTATGTCTCATTTCCTAGCGTACGGCCTGGACTTACCATGATCTTGGCTGCTAGGGCCTGCTTTTCAGCATTGCCGGGGTAGAGGTCGCGGTACTTCTTGAAGAAGTTTATGCTTTCAATGTCCTTGTACTCCTCGGGTTTCCACTCTTTGGGCACGTTGCGCATGCCAATCTCCTCACCTTGGTATACATACAACGTTCCAGCGAGGGTAGTCTGCATCAAGCACAACAGTTTTGCGCCATACTCACGCCACTGGTCGCTGTCATCGGTAAACCTGCTTACACTCCGAGGCTGGTCATGGTTTTCCACGTAGAGCGAGTTCCAGCCGTCGCGCTCGAGCATCAGGCGCTGCAGCCTGTTCACGATCTTCTTCAGATCCCGCGCATCCCATGGTTGTAGGGTATACTTGAAATCGCCGGGTACATTGTCGATGTCCACCAAGTCGAAGACGAAGATCATGTTCAACTCTTCGTTTTCGGCACCGACGACTTTGATGACTTCGTCGTCATCGCGAACAAATGGCATTTCTCCAACGGTGAGCGTATCGTATTTCGAGAGCACGTCGCGCCGAAGTTCCTTCAACCATTCGTGTAGTCTTGGGCCGTTGGCGTAGTATTTGTCGCCAGGCTGGTACTTGTTGTCTTTGACCGAAACGGCCGCATCGGGGAATGTCTGAACCTTCGATATCATGTTGATGACATCCATACGGAATCCAGAGACACCCCTGTCGAGCCAAAAGCGCAGAATGTCATGTACGGCTGCGCGCACATCGGGGTTTTCCCAATTGAGATCCGGCTGTTC